AATCCACCAAAAATACTGCCAGTCTCATCACAGTCCACCAAAAAATCTCATGCCAGTCCAAAAAATGCCACTGCTCATCACAGTCCACCAAAAATACTGCCAGTCTCATCACAGTCCACCAAAAATACTGCCAGTCTCATCACAGTCCACCAAAAATACTGCCAGTCTCATCACAGTCCACCAAAAATACTGCCAGTCTCATCACAGTCCACCAAAAATACTGCCAGTCTCATCACAGTCCACCAAAAATACTGCCAGTCTCATCACAGTCCACCAAAAATACTGCCAGTCTCATCACAGTCTACCAAAAATACTGCCAGTCTCATCACAATCCACCAAAAATACTGCCAGTCTCATCACAGTCCACCAAAAATACTGCCAGTCTCATCACAGTCCACCAAAAATACTGCCAGTCTCATCACAGTCCACCAAAAATACTGCCAGTCTCATCACAGTCCACCAAAAATACTGCCAGTCTCATCACAGTCCACCAAAAATACTGCCAGTCTCATCACAATCCACCAAAAATACTGCCAGTCTCATCACAGTCCACCAAAAATACTGCCAGTCTCATCACCAAAAATACTCCACCAAGTCTCAGTCATCACAGTCCACCAAAAATACTGCCAGTCTCATCACAGTCCACCAAAAATACTGCCAGTCTCATCAAATACCAAAAATACTGCCAGTCTCATCACAGTCCACCAAAAATACTGCCAGTCTCATCACAGTCCACCAAAAATACTGCCAGTCTCATCACAGTCCACCAAAAATACTGCCAGTCTCATCACAATCCACCAAAAAAAACTGCCAGTCTCATCACAGTCCACCAAAAATACTGCCAGTCTCATCACAATCCACCAAAAATACTGCCAGTCTCATCACAGTCCACCAAAAATACTGCCAGTCTCATCACAGTCCACCAAAAATACTGCCAGTCTCATCACAGTCCACCAAAAATACTGCCAGTCTCATCACAGTCCACCAAAAATACTGCCAGTCTCATCAAAAGTCTCATCACCACCAAAAATACTGCCAGTCTCATCACAGTCCACCAAAAATACTGCCAGTCTCATCACACACTGCCAGTCTCCACCAAAAATACTGCCAGTCATCATCACAGTCCACCAAAAAATACTGCCAGTCTCATCACAGTCCACCAAAAATACTGCCAGTCTCATCACAGTCCACCAAAAAACTGCCAGTCTCATCACTCCACCAAAATACTGCCAGTCTCATCACAATCCACCAAAAATACTGCCAGTCTCATCACAGTCCACCAAAAATACTGCCAGTCTCATCACAGTCCACCAAAAATACTGCCATCACAGTCTCATCACAGTCCACCAAAATACTGCCAGTCTCATCACAGTCCACCAAAAATACTGCCAGTCTCATCAGTCCACCAAAAATACTGCCAGTCTCATCACAGTCCACCAAAAATACTGCCAGTCTCATCACAGTCCACCAAAAATACTGCCAGTCTCATCACAGTCCACCAAAAATACTGCCAGTCTCATCACAGTCCACCAAAAAATACTGCCAGTCTCATCACAGTCTACCAAAAATACTGCCAGTCTCATCACAGTCTACCAAAAATACTGCCAGTCTCATCTGACCTTCGTCTCTATCAAAAAGATTCAGGACTCTGCAGGTCATATTGGAAAGATGGTGCTTAGGAGAAAAGACTTTGAACCAGTAGTCTCCAGCCTGATTTGGGGAGGGATTAAAGAGGGGGGGGGGGGGGTGAGGAAGTTTCCAAAGGGGGAGGGGGGTGTCAAGCAATCCCTAAACTGAGTTTATTTGTACTTGTAATGATCAGGATTTTCAGCTTTAACTCTTCAAGTCCCGGGAGTTTAGCATCAGAGACCCAAGGGGTAGTCAAGGGAGAAGGACAATCAATGTATCTTGCGTTCACTGGGCTTCTAGGCAGGAATCAATGAACGTAGGATGTGTTCCTTGGGACTGAAAGAGTTAATATTCATGAAAACAAAACAGCGCTACCAGCTTAAGGTGGAGAGTGATCTCCATTGTGCATTGTCCCACATCGGACCAAAAATTGCAGATATCATCAAGACAAAACAGTGTCAACTATCACACTGGTATTTAGACGCTAAATTACCAGCTGTTGGAGATTGTTTCTTGTGTTATTTGACACTCTGAATTATATGAGTGTTTTCTCCAAATTCTTGCTAATAGTACTTGAGATTTTTTTGCGATCATCTTTTTAATCAAATTTTCTAATGTTTGGGTTGGGAAGTTAAGTGTCTTTTCAAATATATACTCAATAACAAAAAAAGGGTGAGGGGGTGGTCCATGTCACATACTCAAAGGGGAGGGGGCACCTGAAAAAGGTTGGGAACCACTGTTTTAAACAAACTCCACTATGACAAATGAAAGTATTCTTTTTAGTTGGGATGGCCTGAACAATCATGTACTTTCCTTAAACATTAGAATTCCATACTTTTGAGGATTCACATCCAGCCAATTAAACCAGCTACGAGCAACCAGGTGGCAAACTACTTGTGGTCAGAGTTCAAGCTCGGGGGTAGGCAAAAAAGCCACATATTTGATATATGGTATCTATCATGGAATCAAGGCCAAACGGTTGAGATATCCACAGTACCGAGCCAAAGGGTTAACAATTCATGGTTTCTGGATTTAAAACCCTCCCCCCCCCCCCCCTTTAAAAAAAAACGGTATTATCATGCTGTGTTATCACAATCGATATTACTGCTTACTGGGCATTCATTTGCCCTGACCTTCAATGCAGCAGCCATTCCAAAGAACTTTTACTGACCTCTACTATGACAAGTTGGTTATGTCATAGGCAGGGTTCCTTTTCAAAGGGAAAAAAAGGTGCTGATACTGGGTGTGTGCTGAAATTTATAATGTTTCTAAAAAAAATGATGCCAGTACTCATCATAAAATGTAGATTTACTTATAATAAAAAAATATACTACAGCAGTGCTGAAAAAATTATGCCTTGAAAAGGCACCAGTACTGTTAACTGTTACTGCACAACAGCAGAAAAAAGGCACCAGTACTGGTAACTATTACTGCACAACAGCAGAAAAAAAGGCACCAGTACTGTTAACTATTACTGCACAACAGCAGAAAAAAAGGCACCAGTACTGTTAACTATTACTGCACAACAGCAGAAAAAAGGCACCAGTACTGTTAACTATTACTGCACAACAGCAGAAAAAAGGCACCAGTACTGTTAACTATTACTGCACAACAGCAGAAAAAAGCCCTGGTTTTATATGAAATATCATAAGATCACAGCAAATATGAGAGTGAAGGCACCATTAGTATTGTAATTCTGCTCTGGCTGCTGAAGGTAGGGATGGACCACTTGTTGAAATGCTCCAAGTGTTGTTTTGTCAGACTGTAACTCTTATATGAGAATTAACCGGCAAATATATTAACGGACAAATAATAAAAGACAACAAACTCACGAGTCAGAGACCCGTTTCTCTGTCTGTGTCTAATATTTGACATCAACATTCCGTTTGTTTTGGTCATCACATTTTCAGCAAAATTTGTTTCTTACACATTATGCATTCAATTCAAATAACATTACCTATTACTACAAAATGTTGACTGTGATGTATTTCGGAGATCCCAACATTTTAATTTACAGTCATCACCGCCTGCAATACAACAAAAGCAACATGCTTGTACTTGTTATGCATGTCTGAATACAACATACAATTAGTTAATCAGAGTTATATCTTAGCAGCACATCGTTCATCCCATAATTATTCCACTACTTTCCTTGTTCTCATGAGTAATCACTTCTTTTAATTTCACACATCCTCGTGTGGGTTCCGAGGACCCTTTGTGGGGGAAAACAAGAACAGATGTGCTGCCTGCCCAAAAGTGTTGACTAATTAGGAGCCTTCTTCAAAGTCAGAGTACATTTGCCTGAGAGGGAAGGAACCAACAGTCAGCCAAGTAAAACAGAGATGCACGCAGCAAATGTGTGAAGTTTGTAATGCTAGCTAGTGTATAGTTCATAAGTTAATTATTTGAAGAAAAAAAAGGAGAGAGAAACACAAGATGAACAGCAGGTGCAGGTATAAAGTAAGACAGAAATAAACAAACTGACACAGCAGCAGTCACAGAGACAGGGAGACATATAGAGGTAAAGTGACAGACACAGGAGATGGAATGAGACAGTGGAGACATCACAGAGACATAGAGAGACATACAGAGGTAGAGTGACAGACACAGCAGATGAAATGATATAGTTGAGACATCACAGAGACAGGGAGACATATAGAGGTAAAGTGACAGACACAGGAGATGGAATGAGATAGTAGAGACATCACAGAGACAGGGAGACATATAGAGGTAAAGTGACAGACACAGGAGATGAAATAAGACAGTGGGGACATCACAGAGACAGAGAGACATATAGAGGTAGAGTGACAGACACAGGAGATGGAATGAGATAGTAGAGACATCACAAAGACATACAGAGGTAGAGTGACAGACACAGGAGATGGAATGAGACAGTGGAGACATCACAGTGACAGAAAGAAATACAGACACAGTAAGGCACAGGAGATGGAACGAGACAGTAGAGACTGCACCAACAGATCTAAAAAAAAAAAGACTACGGGCAGGGAAAAAGAAAAATAGAAGAGATAAAAGAAGGGGACACAAACAGGTGTCCCAATGGAGCAAAATGCACAAAACACAAGTTTTAATGTATCAAAGTCTTTCTTGCTCAATATTGTTGTGATAGATCGTGTTCTTTCTAGTAATCCAGTGGAAGGTTGTGGTTTTAACCCCTAGTGGGAAACTGCATGGCATGCCATATCATTCTCACAACCATTTGGGACAGAGATAGTCCACTCTTCACAAGAGATCCTAAATTAGCTATAATGGGCCAGCAGACAGACAAAAAAGCCACAGTATTACACAACTCTTGCTTTTGTGAATAAACACACTTTCAGATAAATCATCTGTCAGTACAAACATCAGTGTTGCAATCACAGAAAGTAGGCCAAATAATAAAGTAAGATATTGAGAAAAATAAAAAAGGTCATAGAGAGACAGACAAAGAGTTGAGAGAGAAAGAGATAGTGGGAGAGAGAAACACAGTGGCAGTCACAGTAAGGCACAGAGACTGATAGTTAAGACTGTGTGCCAACAGACCTGAAAAGACTAGATTGTGATCAGACTTGTGAAAAGCTGTAATCCAGGCCTCATAGTCATGAGCCTTCCATGTTGAGACGGTGCTGAGATTATCGCCAACCTGAAACACGGTGACACAACCAGCAGAATCTGAAGCTGCGACTAGAGGTGATCTGCAAAAATAAACAAAACATGACAGCGAGCCACAATTAGTGTGTATTTTTCTGACAAAACTTCACTATACAAGCAATGAAATCCCTTAATTATTGGTAAATAAAATTTGACAAGAAGAAAAATGCTGCAGAAACTAAAGCAATCAAAACCTTTATGAACCTGAACATACAGAGCAATACATCATCATCATCATCACCATCTTACTGAGCCCATATAAGGTTTGCAGTCTATTCTTCCATTCCATTCTATGCTGTGCAATTTTTCACTATTATGGAATGGAACATGGAATGGAACATAGAATGGAACATGGAATGGAACATAGAATGGAACATAAAATGCAACATGGAATGGAACATGGAATGCAACATAGAATGGAACATGGAATGCAACATAGAATGGAACACAGTCTAGCAGCAGCTCTGGTCTTTCTAATTAATGTTCATTTCGAATTTCTATTGACAATTTAATTTTTGTATGTGTGTTTCCAATCCATTTTTATTTCAGTGCCTATGGTGGTTCTCAGAATGTGCCCAATATATCTCTATCTTCCTGTCTTATAACTACTGAAACCAGCAGTTGTCCAGATTTGCAACACAAATCAGACTAATGTGAACATGTTAATTTCGTCTGGCAACAGAAACTGATGTGAAACTAGACATGTAACAAATCACCTGAAAACAAATATTCTCCTTTGAATATTCTCCACTGAATACAACTGCTGCCGAATAGTTCTGAAATTCCTTTAGACAAAAGAAGCGTACACGTCTAATCATCAAGGACGCAGTATTGAAAAAACAGATCATTAAAATAATTAAAACTGAGGAAGTTTAGTATTTTTGAATATCAATAATTTAAAAAAAAAAAACCCACTGAAAGAGCTTTAAAACGTATTATCTTTCACCCCTTATGACCTGGCATTAAAGCTACTTGCTGGTAAAACATTTACACACAACATCCACCATGCTAACACTCTATGACCGAGTTTTTATGATGGGGATTTTGATCATCTAGAAAGGTAAATTCATTTTGTTTCAACAATATCACCAGGAAAATTTTTTTTTATAACTGACCCTTGGGAAAAATCAGCCCAGCTTAATGACAGACCAAGTGATGATTCTGACAGCCTGCTTTTTGCAAGAAACCTGCTTGTAAGATTTTCTTCTTCGAGCTGAAACATCTGAAATATAGTGATTAAAAACATAAATACATTGATTACAAATTAAATATAGAGATTAAACAAATAAATATATTGATTAAAACATAAAAACAGTGATTAAAACATAAATATAATGATTAAAAACATAAATAAAGTGATTAAAAATATAAATTTAGCGAGTAAAGCATAAATATAATGATTAAAAACACAAATATCATGATTAAAAAGACAAATAATGCATTATTTTCTCTTTTTCTTTTCCTGCTCCTTATCCCCAGGGAAGCTCAGGTCCTTAACAAAGTAAAATGATCTACCCTTAGCTACAGCATGTAGCTTACCACATGTCATCCCCATCTTTGTTGTTGTTTTTCTTCTTCACGTACATGGCTGTAAACTCCTGAGGAAAGTTCTGGTAGGTTGTCTACCTCAGAACATAAGTCTCTTTCCAGAACCAGAGTGATGCGTGCACATTCATTTTCCAGATCTAGCTCATTTGTATGCTGACTGCTGGTTCCTTGCCGCTCAGGCAGATGCAATCTGACTTTGAGAAGGAAGCCCCAATTAGTTGGCTCTTATGACATGCTTGTCAGGGAGGTAGTAGGTCTGTTTTTGCTTTCCGCACAATGCGGCCAAGGAAACCAAGCAGGGAATCATTTTCAATCAAAACAGATCTTTTTTATGGTTCTTCTGACGTGTGATGCAAGGCTCATATATTTTTATAAACTAAACAAAACTTAGGAGACATATGGTCAACATCATCCAGGTCACCTTTACTTTCCAGGTCATTTCCTAGTACCCATTTTAGTTTAGGAACTATGTTTCATTTTGACTAAATTCACCCTGATTTAAACCCATGACCCTGTGACCAGCCACTACAACACTGTTGCTCTCTAGAAGAGCAAGCAAAAAAGTGCAATTAAAAACCCTCAAAAAAAGAAGACAGTAAAACAATTTCAAGACGGTTTCAATTTGATTTCCATACTGTGTTCTTATTAATGTCTGTTCTTTACCACATAATTTTCAGTTTGTTATTTATCTGGCAATCTACTGTGACATTTATGAGAAACAAAAGCAGTCTTTGATTGGATAACTCATTGATATTTATCTGGCGATCTACTGTGACATTTATGAGAAACAAAAGCAGTCTTTGATTGGATAACTCATTGTTATTTATCTGGCGATCTACTGTGACATTTATGAGAAACAAAAGCAGTCTTTGATTTGATAACTCATTGTTATTTATCTGGCGATCTACTGTGACATTTATGAGAAACAAAAGCAGTCTTTGATTGGATAACTCATTGTTATTTATCTGGCGATCTACTGTGACATTTATGAGAAACAAAAGCAGTCTTTGAATGGATAACTCATTGTTATTTATCTGGCGATCTACTGTGACATTTATGAGAAACAAAAGCAGTCTTTGATTGGATAACTCATTGTTATTTATCTGGCCATCTACTGTGACATTTATGAGAAACAAAAGCAGTCTTTGATTGGATAACTCATTGTTATTTATCTGGCGATCTACTGTGACATTTATGAGAAACAAAAGCAGTCTTTGATTGGATAACTCATTGTTATTTATCTGGTGATCTACTGTGACATTTATGAGAAACAAAAGCAGTCTTTGATTGGATAACTCATTGTTATTTGTCTGGCGATCTACTGCGACATTTATAAAAAAAAAAAAAGTAGTCTTTGATTTGATAACTTATTGTTATTTATCTGGCGATGTACTGTGACATTTATGAGAAACAAAAGCAGTCTTTGATTGGATAACTCATTGTTATTTATCTGGCGATCTACTGTGACATTTATGAGAAACAAAAGCAGTCTTTGATTTGATAACTCATAATTCTTTATTTTATCTGGCGATCTACTGTGACATTTATGAGAAACAAAAGCAATCTTTGATTTGATAACTCATTGTTATTTATCTGGCGATCTACTGTGACATTTATGAGAAACTAAAGCAGTCTTTGATTTGATAACTCATTGATATTTATCTGGCGATCTACTGTGACATTTATGAGAAACAAAAGCAGTCTTTGATTGGATAACTCATTGTTATTTATCTGGCGATGTACTGTGACATTTATGAGAAACAAAAGCAGTCTTTGATTGGATAACTCATTGTTATTTATCTGGCGATCTACTGTGACATTTATGAGAAACAAAAGCAGTCTTTGATTTGATAACTCATTGTTATTTATCTGGCGATCTACTGTGACATTTATGAGAAACAAAAGCAGTCTTTGATTTGATAACTCATTGTTATTTATCTGGCGATCTACTGTGACATTTATGAGAAACTAAAGCAGTCTTTGATTTGATAACTCATTGATATTTATCTGGCGATCTACTGTGACATTTATGAGAAACAAAAGCAGTCTTTGATTGGATAACTCATTGTTATTTATCTGGCGATCTACTGTGACATTTATGAGAAACAAAAGCAGTCTTTGATTGGATAACTCATTGTTATTTATCTGGCAATCTACTGTGACATTTATGAGAAACAAAAGCAGTCTTTGATTGGATAACTCATTGTTATTTATCTGGCGATCTACTGTGACATTTATGAGAAACAAAAGCAGTCTTTGATTTGATAACTCATTGTTATTTATCTGGCGATCTACTGTGACATTTATGAGAAACAAAAGCAGTCTTTGAATGGATAACTCAATGTTATTTATCTGGCGATCTACTGTGACATTTATGAGAAACAAAAGCAGTCTTTGATTGGAAAACTCATTGATAAATCCTCCTCTTATTGGTCTCAGGGCCCTGTTTTTTTTTGGGGGGGGGGGGGGGGGCGAGGAGACAGACCCATTAGTCCCCAACAAGCGTGCCGTGAATTATGGTTTTGCTGAAACTGCATGTGTTGATGTGTGTATTGGAAATTAGAGACAGACAGACAAGATATTGAATAACATGACCTATCAAGTGCTAGTTAGTGCATACAAATAGGGGATTAGTACCACATGCCTAAAGCATCTCAAGCTGCAGAAAAAATTGTTATTTTTCATGCAAATGATGCAATAACATAAATCAAGTGTTATGTTGTCAGTTGTAGGATGCAATTACATAAATCAAGTGTTATGTTGTCAGTTGTATGATGCAATCACATAAATCAAGTGTTATGTTGTCAGTTGTATGATGCAATCACATAAATTAAGTATTATGTTGTCAGTTGTATGATGGAATCACATAAATTAAGTGTTATGTTGTCAGTTGTACGGTGAAATCACATAAATCAAGTGTTATGTCAGTTGTATGATGCAATCCCATAAATTAAGTATTATGTTGTCAGTTGTATGATGTAATCACATAAATCAAGTGTTATGATGTCAGTTGTATGATGCAATCACATAAATTAAGTATTAAGTTGTCAGTTGAATGATGGAATCACATAAATTAAGTGTTATGTTGTCAGTTGTACGATGAAATCACATAAATCAAGTGTTAAGTTGTCAGTTGTGCCAACTGAATGATAAATCAAAGCGGTGTTTCTCCACAGTGAATACAGGCAGTATAGGTTTAGGTTTATACAGCAGATCAACATCATGGCACACGGGTGTAACCCATAAGTGCTTAGTTCTTCTTCTAACTTAAGCCTGAGTCTGAAGAATCTCAGCGCAGTGCACAAACTCCGCTGCACCGATGAGGATCCTGAAATACTTCACATTTTGCCTGGGCAGCACCTTAGACTACTCTTTTTTCAATTTTCCAGCTGCCAAGGGATTCTTTTATGTGTGCAACAATACACGCGGGCGTTCAATCTTACTACCCAGAGACCAGGGGAAATTACTACAAGTCCACATGAAAAAATCCCAGCCTTCACTGGGGTTTGAACCACGGACCTCCAGCACTCGAGGCAGATGCCATAACTCAAGACCACCCAGCCCTTATATTATATTATTATATACTTCAGTTATATATAATATTGGCAGTAATGGAACTTCAATACTCCCTGTGTTAGTTCTGGACACTAATTTTTGGGGGAGGAAAAAAAAACAACAGACACTCCCCTTAAATAGCAAGTTGTAAAAGGCAACTGAGCGTCTGCTGAAATTAGAAGTGTTTTGCCGAAAGGTGCAGATATCCTAGCCTAGCTGAAACCCACAATACAATGTGCCAACTGCCCTTGCATGTTGAATAAGGATTCAACATCATAGCACTCTGGATATTCCCATAAGCATTCCGTCCCCGTCTTCAGTAGCCAACGAAGAGTTCCAATTCAGATGGTACCAGTAATTGTCTGACTGTACATCCGTCCCACCGTTCCCTTGAGCGTCGGCCAAATCCCCTGGTAACTTCCCGCAGCACCCTTCTCCTCAGACCACAATGGTCTGTTTCTGCAAACTGCCCTTTCAAGGGTAAATGCAGAAGCTTAAGTAAAACTCAAGGATGATTACATACAATAAAATACAGCCTTTGACTGATTCGCTAAACAAAAAAACTACTGTATGTCATGGTGTCAATACGGGACATAATGCTTTCAGACACTTACTATTAAAACTCATTCCATCACAAAGAGTGTATTTTATTATATCTAACAATCCTCTGAGTTTGATTTGCAAAAAAAAAAAAAATTAGATGACAGGAATAGGGGTGTCGGGTGTCGCTGTGGCGGAGCGGCTAGACACTTGCATGTGGATCATAAGGTCGTGGGTTTGCTCCCTGGAGGAGCCGCACTTTTTTTTTTTTTTTTTTTAAATGAACTTGGCTCCCAGGTTGACCTAGCCTTGAGTGGATACTGGGTGCAGTGCAAGAAAGTAAAGGTGGCCGACGTGATGCTGACCACATCACCCATCTTGTGCGAATTGGTCTATAAAACATAGGTCTAGCCCTATATGCCCTGAAGGTGTAGAAAAGAGTCCTTTACTTACTTTACTAATAGGGGTGCTGATTTAGGAGGCATAAGCTTTGTTTAAGTATTCAACTCTTTATGGACTAGTCATAATTTAATTGGTGTTTGAATCCATGCTGCTAGGACTAATTGCAATTAAAGTGGCGCCTCATAGAGACACTCATATATTGTTTCGTTTGCTGGGCAAATGAATTTGTATGAATTTGTTTTGAAAAACTAGAAATATTAAAATAGAGTAATTTCGTCTTGGAAGTGTGGCATGGTGTTTAGATAACTTGCTTGTTTGTTTTAAATTATTTAGATGTGATACAATTTTTTACATGATTTTTCTATACCAAATGAAAAGGAAATGGCATCGCATGATGGGCAATGAATAGCCAGACAGATTGGCTGGAAATGCACCACTGAGTGGTGAATTGATACATGACAAGGCAGATGTGGTCAAGGCCCTTTGGGAACAAGCAACAGAATCAGTAGAGAAAGAAGATTATTATGGCCTGGAGAGAATGAGGCACCTGGGTGTAACCAGAGGGTCTGGCCAGCTCACTACACTTAGAGGAAAGGCAAGATGGACATATAACCAGATTGTGACCTGTACCATCAGTATTGGAACTTTTTGCTGGCTGCTGAAAATGAGGACGAAGCATGCATTTTGGGTAAATAATCTTCATATATGTCTAACATCCTTGAATGTTGTGTGGTTTTAATCATATTTTGTTGCAATACTGACACTTAAACAGTTCAGGTTTATTCTGCACTCTTTTCTCTTTAATTTTATTTATTATTTGTCCCTATACAGCCAATACTTTTTCTTCAGGAAGGTTTTTGCTTTGTCATGTTGCAGTAAAAAAAAATTTCCCTTAAAATTAAAGCTGTCTAAACCCCAGAAAAAAATGTCATGAAAGAGTTAATAATAATAATAGAATGATATGTATAATCGTAGCATTAAAAAAGAGAGAAAAATGACAAGAACAAACCTGAAACTGGCCTTCAGCATCAACGATACCATATAAAAATCTGTCCCCAGCAGCAGCCTCCATCCATTTGATGTCCAGCACTCCACAGGTGGACATGGTACTACATTCTTCAAGATGTGGTTGACCTGACTCAGAAAAGAGAACCTTGTATGTTATCACACCTCCAACTCGAACTTGAGCAGTTGCCTGTGCTGTCTCTGCGAGAAGTTCTTCAGAAGCCTCAAGTCCTGGGTTACACAGTGATGACGTTACAGGGTTCTCAGTGTTAGCCTTTGCAATTAAAGAAAATAAACATTACTGATAAAGTTCCCTGTGTGGGGTTTCAGCGTCTCATTTTCTGGGGTAAAAAAGAATAGCCCCACTGCTTTCCTAACAGCATGTTGTAGAAGGTGACTAACTAAGGGTGTTTTTCATTTGGAGTCGGGAGTCACTATGGTGTAGCGGCTAGACGTTTGCCTGTAGATCGGAAGGTCGTGGGTTTAGGTCCTGTCGAAGCCACATTTTTTTTAAAGGTGCTCTCAAATGTGGCAAATTTCTGTTCTGAATAACAATTTGTTTATTCCCATCAATTTCTCTTGCCGGAATTCTTATCTTGGGTCCCTGGTGAGTTCACCTTATCAGGTCTGCACTAATACAATCTTGTTGGTAATTATTACAGTAAATAAGTGGTGAATGCAGTTACACTGATGACAAAAAATGCTAAATTGTTTCATTCACAGTTCTCACTCCTGGAGGAATCAATATTCACCACAGCTAAATTTAATGTGATTAATTTATTAATTTATTTATTGAACTTGGTAATACCCCCCCCCCCCCTTTCCCCCCCCTTTCCCACATCCTCAAACACCTTTTTCTTATTTTATTTCATAATATAGCTCTTCATGTCTTTACTTAATAATATTGGGGGTCGCAGTCGATAAGAGGTTCGCTTTCAAATCCAGCTGCGACTCGCTGCAGCCCACGGTCGGTGTTCGAAACCGGGCGGCTCCCGGGGTTCACCCAGCCTCTAGGAAATGGGTACCGGAGTGACACTCTGGGGTAAATGGAGGAACGTCGCTGTAGCTACAGAGTTACGTGCGAATGGCAACACAGGCAGACAATTCTTATCAGCTGTCCATTCTGGTGGCAGAGCACTTATGGTTTATAACCGTGTGCAATGACGCTGGTTCACATTTCCCGACTTGACCTTTACTTAATAATGTCTTTCTTAGCTTGATGTTGACCTAGGTTGTTTATAAGATCTGTTCTTGTTTGCTGAGTTTTTAAGTCACAGTCTGTGTTGTATTTAGTACTCTGTTGATAAAGACTTTGGTCAAAACATTCGGTTGAATTTGTGCACATCTTTTTCATTCCCTCTGAGGAGCTGCAGACAAGAGACCGAGCCAAAGAGGATAAAACCCGGTGAATGAAGTCGGTCCTCTCTTCTCAACTTTAATTTTTCTTGCACTTTGCAAATAAGCAGTGGAACAGTTACATAGTTTTCATAAATAACTGCTTTTTTTTCTTGAAGAAATGATAACGAAACACTTGTCACTTAGCAGACTGCTACACCATGCTGAGTTGAGGTGAGTTAACAACCAACATTATAGCACTTATGGCGTTGCAATAAGTGCTCTGTCCCTATCTTCACAGCCAATGCAGAATAAAGACCATGTAAAATCGATAAAGTGTGATTTACATGACAAAATAAATGAATTTCTTTTGTGTTCGCCTTAAAAGGGTGGCTGATATACTGTGATGTTGTTTACAGCTAGGCTGTGATCATCATCATCATCAACCAGCAGGTTCCTTACAGAATGTTGGTCTCGTCATGGTATGCCTCAATATCTCTCTCTAACCAATTCCTCCAGCCTTATGTGCTTTCAATGTCTTGTATCCATTTTCACGAAGGTCTGCCTTTGCCTCGTTTTCAGGAAACTACCCTACATCACCATTCTGTCCAGGCGAACATGACATTTACCATGGCCAAAATACCTAGTTTTCAGGACAGGATGCTAATTATATGATATTTCCACCTTTTAACCCATAACATCTGATTTCAGCAAAGCCACGATTAGTCTCCTTTTACGACATGCCCCCAAAATGAGGCCCTTGAACCTACAGATGAAAAAAAAACAAAAAAATGAATTATAGGGCAAGTAGATACATACATGTTCTGAGAGTGTGGATTCCAGTAGTTTGTATGTACCACACAGTAGAACATTCTGCAGGCCAGGATGTGGACACCACTCTGCAGCATCTGCGTTTAGCAAAGTATCAACTTTCTGTATTGGTTTTCCTTTTGCTATATTCATGTTGGAGACCTGAGTTTACTGCAAATGAAAGAAAAAAATCCATATCAGCTATTTCAGTGTCAGCCTGTAATTATTTCAACTCTAGAGAACTACAGAATCTGTATCAACTGCAATAAGACAAAAAAGGTGGAGGTACATTGGGCACACCCTGAGATGAAATGAGCAGAAAATTACAAAGCAAGCACTGAAATGGGAAATAAACACTCTAAGAAAAAGAGGACAACCAAGGGAAACATTAAGAAGAACATTATTACGAGCGGCTAGAAATGCTGGGCTGAACTCCATGTCAGAAATCAAGAGAGATGCATGTGATACAGCAGAGTGGAGGAATCAACTGTGAGCCCTATGCGATATCTAATGGTACATAAAGGATGATAATGATGATGTTGAGAGAACTCAAGGGAAGGATTAAACAGTATATCACAAGAACAGGGGTTCGCATATGAGACATATCTTAAGAAAGAATAATGGCATACCCAATCCCTTTAAGGCTATCCTCCAAATAACGGGCACAAAATATGGCAGCCGCAAAAACACACCAACAGAGCCTCAGTCATGTGTCAGTTGCGCACTTCCGGCGACTTAATTTGCTGTTTTCCGGTGACTATCCAAACCGCCGAGAGTATCCCCCACGCGGCGTGGATTGGGGCTAAAATAGATGGCTAGGACTCACCAGCAAAGCTGCAGGAGATGCGGAAGCTGCCGCTCGTGAGTCCCAGCCATCTAGTTTAGCCCCAATCCACGCAATGTGAGCGGCGTTGGGGATACTCTCGGCGGTGGCGGTAGTCACTGGAAAACCGCAAATTAAATCGCCGGAAGTGCGCAATTGACACGTGACTGAGGCTCTGTTAGGGTGTTTTTGCGGCTGCCATATTTTGTGCCCATTATTCGGAGGATAGCCTGCTTTAAATATCAGCAAAGATAGACTACACAGTAGAATTACTATAAGTGATAGAACACAGATTTAAAACTACTCACACAAAAGACAATTTTTGTGTTAAACATACATATTTTTTGCAGTTCTGCCCCTCTACCCACCCAGTAATAACACACAGTGAACTGTGGCCCGAAAACCCCCTTCTTTTTTTCTTTTTTACGTTCACCAGCTGTAAACTCCTGCCGAAAGTTCTGGTTGTTCGTCCACTTATGGACTGCAGTCCTGTGTTCACAACCTGAGTGTTGCGTGTGCATCTGTTTGACAGATCTGACCCATTTGCGTGCAGGCTGTTGGTTCCTTGCATCTCAGGCACATGCAATGAGCAATCCGACTTCAAAGGAGTTCTAATTGAATTATATCCTGCAACTTTTGGGTGGAATCAGGTCCATAACCTTTGGCCTTTCCAATCAACATAAATACCCCTTACAACTAGGTAATTATCTTATTCTCATGGACCATTCAAATACTTGCATTATCGTTCTTTATGTAAACTCCCCTGTAGTTTATTCGGACATCACCTCCCTTATGTTGCCAAACATAACAGATCACTTCTTTCATTTCGTTGTTTTCCCTAGGTCACAACTTTTTATCAGCCCGTATTGATGATCGGTCACAATTCACATCAGGGCTGCCAATGATGGGTTTTTACCCCCAGATCTGGGTTTTTATTTGACGTCTGGTCTGGGTTTAAATCTGAAATCTGAGTTTAAAAAATATATCATCATCATCGTCATAATGAACCACTTCTGCCGTTAAGCGTCGTGGGGAGGAATAATTTGCGATCCAGTGCACGTTGGCTGCCGCTGGCTATTGTCATGCCGTGTAGGCGTAGAGTGTCTTTAATGTTGTCGATCCATGTTATCCGCGGCCGTCCTCTTGCTCTTGTAGTTGATCTTCTGAGATTCAGTGCTTGTGATGGTATTTGATCTTGCTGCTTTCTAACGAGATGGCCAAACCACTTGATTTGCTGTTTCTCGATGATACTAGTACAAGGTGTCGTTCCCACAATTTGCCTGATTGTTTCATTATTCACTCGATCTCGGATAGTTACATAAAAGTTTTGTAACTATAAAATGTGTACTTTTCAACAATCTGGGTATTTTATTTTGTTTTTGTTCTTTGCCTATGTATTGCTTGGATTTGTGTTCAGCTTACCTGGGTTTTAAAAAAAAATCCAACTGGCAGCCCTGTTCACAATATTCTAGAAACAAGATGGCTTCTTCTGTTTCGCGTGGCGTCGACCGTGTCCTCGCTAAATGCGAGGCTTGTATTAAAGCAGGAAACTTTTACGAAGCTCATCAGATGTTTAGAACTGTTTATTTCAGGTATGTAATCGCTTCAAAAACAGACCTTCTTGTCATATTCTTTTCCGTTTCTAAAACTCGAACTCGGATAGTGGGGGGTAAACATGACCTGCACAGCAAGTTATTTTCGACTTCGACAATTTGAAAAGTAGCCTTTTATCGATAGGTAATGTTTTCCATAGAAACCGGCATCTGTATAACATATTTAGTGTTAAAATTGCCTAACAACTATAAGTTTTTAAGTTTTACTTTGATGTAGTTAATAAGCATGTACTAGTGGCGTTTATAAATAGTACTTTAAAAACTATATTTCGTGTACACTACGTTTCTAAACGTACCCAATGCATGACATCAGATCGGAAATTTCAGACGACGCACACACAGTACTACTAAAGTTAATGACACACCCACTTAAAGTGTACCATTATTATGGCTGTTCCCCTTTTCTTTGACGGTACCCAGTGTCAGCACTTTTTTATAGTCACAGTTTTTATTTTATTTAGCATTGGCTTTACTGCAACTACTGGTGTTGGCATCACCAGTACAATTCTTTTTGTTTTCTAGAAAATATTATCATCCTTGACCATTATCTTATCATCATTGCTTCCTTCTAGTTTGAAGAATGGATCCGATCAACATCATGGCACACGGGTAGTAACCCATAAGTGCTCCGGTCTTCTTCTAACTCGAGTCTGAGTCCGAAGAGTTCATCACAGTGCACAGGCTCTGTAGCACCGGCGAGGATCCTGAAAATACTTTGGGTAGATTCTTAACTCAAAATTTTGCCAGGGCAGCGCCTTTAGGCTAATCTTTTTGATTTCCAACTGCCAAGAGATTTTTTTACGTGCTCAACAATGCACACAGGTGTTCAGTCTCACTACCGAGAGACCAGGGAGAATTACTAGAAGTGCAAGTCCACGTGAAAAAATCCCAGCCCTTACCGGGGATTGAACCTAGAACCTCTAGCACTCAAGGCGGAGACCATGCAGCCCCCTCTTTCAATGTCAGAGTGTATCTACCTGAGAGACAAGGAGCAGTCTGCATACATATGTAAGCTATATCTGTAAAATGGAAGTCCGTGCATACAAAACCCAAGCTCTAGAACGAGGGGCTCGCCTCCGAACTTTATCCACATATTATGGCGGCAAATAAATACCCTAACAGGGCCTCAGTCATGTGTAAAATGATGAGTGCCTGCCGAGGAACAGATTGGGTAAAGCTAGGATTGCCTCCGAATAACGGGCCAATGTTATAAAGGGCAAACAAATACTCTAACAGGGTCTCAGCGATATGTTAATTGCGGACCTGTTTCTGATACTATGCTGCACTGCCGACAGTATCCCCTGCGTCGCTACACGCGGATGGGGTGCTAAACTTGATTCCTGTGACTCACGAGCAAATAAATTGGAGGAAGTTGCAGGAGATGTGGTGGCTGCTGCTCGTGAGTCCCAGCCATCTAGTTCAGCCCCCCCATCTGCCCCGCATGTAGCGTGTCCCCCACGCTGCATGAGCGGCGTGGATTGGGGCTAAACTAGTTGGCTGGAACTCACGAATAGCAGCTAACGCATATCCTGCAGCTGCCTTCATTTTATTTGCTCGTGAGTCCTAGCCATCTAGTTTAGCCCCAATCCACGCTGATGGTCTCATTGGAACCCTTACCTTCCTCCACCTCTTTCCCACTCACACTAAAACTTGTCTACACTTGTTTGTCAGTTTATGTTTGGCTTGACTGAGTAGCTGCAGTTATTTGTTTATAAGAGAAGTTGGTCTCACATCAGCTTGTCTTTTTCTGCTACTACTACCTGTGACGGTGGGAAACTTGTTGCACATAGACAGCCCCTGAGACCTGCATGGCAAGGTTAAGCAGTTTATTTTGTTTTTTTCTCTTCTACCTTGTACCTCAGTAAAGTATCAGAGTGAGATGTAACATTCGTTGATTAGCTCTGTCAGGAGCACTATTAAGACTGATATTCATTTCTGTAAGGCTGTTCTCTATGCTATCACTCCATATTTTTCAAGGTCTTCCGTTCGCTCTGTGCCTGTTGTAACATTTCAGTGTGGCTCGCTATGGTAGATAGTACCAGGGCATTCTTGTTAGGTGTCCAGACCACTTCATTTGTTGTTCTTTGATGACCTGTAAGACTGGCTGTATTCTTGGCATTCGTCTGATTTCATATTTTGTCTTTCCTTGAAACTCCCGCAGCTCTTCTAAAGCATTTAATCTCTGTTGTCACAATTTTATGTTCATTGTAGGATTTAAAAGTGTCCACGTTTGGCACTGAAAACAGAGTGTTGGTAAAAAAATTGTTCTGATAAGATTCACTCTAGAACTCCGAGGTATCTGCTTGTGTGTCAACAGGGTAGATAGTTGCCCCATTACTTGACTAGCTATGGCACATCTCAAGCTAATTTCTCTGTCCAGTTTTCCTTTGGATGGGAAAATTGTTCCTAAATACTTGAATTCCTTTGTATGTCTTAAGGCTTTGTTTTTTAATTTCATTTTTAAATTGTCTTTCTGACTTCCAATCACCATTGTCTCTGTCTTCCTATCACCATTGTCTCTTTCATAGTGTTTAAATTTTTTTTTTAAACCAGAACTAAAATCTGTTTTTCAAAAGGGTAAGAAATGTGGGTGCTGTAATTGTAGACGACCCTTAGCAAATGGAAACCTGAAATGTCCAGTCCACTATTGTAGGGATGTTATGACTTCGCTCGGATGTGATAAAAGCTGACCCAGAAACAATACATAATTTTCCTGGACTGAACTGGGGATTCTGGGATTTTCTTTTCTTTTGGAGTCATCTAAAATGATTGTACCAAAATTTCTCCTAAAGATAAAATCGACCAGAATAATCAACTATTAGTCTAAGGGCATGATAAATCGACTATTTTAATGATATAATGTTCGTAAGATTATCAACATATTCTTAGTACAATTTGCATCTTAATCACAACCCAAAAAGATGTTAACAAAGCTTTAGAAATATTCATTCAAATTATATAATTGTTTTAAAAAAATAATTACATGATGTATAAAATAATAAAATATATACTCTGATAACTCAAACATTTTTATCCCAGATATAACCCTGAGGTCCCTGTGTGGGTTCCAGGGCCACATTATGGGGAACAAAAAGAATAGAAGTCGCAGTGTGTCTGCCTTAGAGGCAAAGAACCAACAGTCTGTATACAAATAAACCAGATCTGTTTAAATAAAAACCGGATGTGCACACTAAGCTCGGGTTCTGGAACAGCCAGAAGTGGATGAACAACAAGAACTTTCTGCTGGAATTTATAGCTTGTGAACTTGAAGAAGAAGAAACTCCAGAGGGTTGAACAGGATATTTTGTGAAAACTTCTAGTACTTCTGTCTCATACCAACTCTTTCCTTTACTTATTCCTGTTTGGCAAGATTGTGTAATTGAGTTTATCTAGAGGATGAGGTGTTCAGTTTTTTTTCCAGAGGTCACTTATTGTGATATGCACTGTAGGTTACAGTTACAGTGTGAGAGTAAGCTCTACATGTTCTGTGTGAAATATTGTTTGGGGTATCACCCCCTCCGCCCCCCCCCCCCCACTTTTTTTTTCAAGCATGTCAAAACAATACGAGTGCTTTTTTCAAAGTCGGAAGCATCTGCTTAAGAGACAAGGAACCAAAAGTTTGCATAAAAATAGTCATATTTTTAAAACAAATGTGCATGCAAAACTCAAGTTCTAAAACAAGACAAAAGTACAGACATGGACAGACAAGCGGGACTTTAGTCAGAGTTTGCAGCTGGTGAACGTAAAGAAGAAGAGTTCAGTTTCCCTCAGCTTTTGTTGTTGTTTCATCATGAACATGATTCTCCTCAACAGATATAGTGGTCAGCAGAAATATGACGAGGCTGCTGATTTGTTGTACAGAGGTGCCTTAATTTTACTGCAACACAAACAAGTATGTCTGTCATTTATTATTTCTTGAAATTTTTTTCTTCTCTTTTTCTTTGCATTCACTAGTTGTAAACTCCGGTGGAAAAAAGTAAAGGTGATAGGATCGACTTCATAGCACCAAGTTTAATCCCTTAGGGCTCAGTCTTGTCTCCGCCTGCCCAGAGCGTCAACAGAGCACGACCTCCGAAGCTTTAGCAACGAATTCCATCATAAAAATTGCACTTGTGAACTGAATGGGCGCTCCCGTGAAACGAGCCCATGACCTTCAGAGCGCAAGGCAAACGGCTTGACCACTTCGCCACAGAGACCCTCTCCGTGTGGAGAGTTCTCGTTGTTCATCCACATCTGGACTTTAGTCTTGTTCCGGAATTTGAATTTTGCGTGCACATCCATTTTCCAGATCTAGCTTATTTATATGCAGACCATTAGTTGCTCGCCTCTCAGGCAGATGCACTCTGCTTTCGAAGGAAACACTCCTGATTAGTCGCCTTTTACAACCTGCTTGTTAGAGGACAGTGGGTCTGTTCTTTATTTCCTACCAAAATGGGTTTTCCTAAAACCCACACGGGGACTGTAGTTTTCTTAAAGATGTGGAAATGGATCATAGGGCACAGTTATGGAGAAATAAGATATACATATTAATTGTGTAACAGCTTGTCATCCCAAAGCAGCAGGTCCTTGCAGAATATTAGGTGCTTTATTAATATCTTACTCCAAACAGGGCAAATCCACAGGTCACAGGACAAAATAATATTTCAGGGGGTGGTAGATAGGCTGCATGCAGTCATGGGACCTAGGCTGCACTCTCTAGTGGGACGTAGGTGGGTTGGGGTTAGGGTCAGTTCTAGATGTTTTGGGGTCGTTAAAAGCATCAGAAAGCAGGAAACCCAGTCTTACCACCCTCTAAAATGTTGGACTGTCCTGTGATGTCATCTGTTGTAAGATATTAATAAAGCACCGAAAATTGCTTTCATCACTGCTCACCCACCTCATGCAATTTACTATTCAAGGTGTCCCTTATATTCTCTGCCCATCTTCATGCTGATCAGCCCCTATCTCTCTTTCCTGGCACAATTGCTGCTGCTGCTATTCTTTCCAGTCCATCATGGCGCTTGACATGGCCAAAATATTCAGTGTTATAGATGCTGATGTTGTTGTTATTACAGTAGCCTTATCTAGTTCATTACTTGATTTCTACATAATAGCACACAGTCTTACTAGTCTCCTAAACGGTGTCATTGTCTTATTGGAGGACCAGTACAAGAGTACTTGTGACAGTCACCTAACCAGGTATCCTTCTTCAGAAGTGTAAACCTTAACTGTATCCAGGTTTTAATGGTATCTGACCCAGTTTGAGGGATCATCAGTGTTGAATCCTCATTATAATTAGTTCAAGACTTGAGATGCCAGGAGCCATGGTGGTGCTCTGCCTGCCAACCTGAAGGTCTTGGTTTCAGATCTGCTTGGGTACGATTTAAAAAAAAAAAAAAAGAGACCTTGGCTTCCAGGTTGACCCAGCCTAAAATGGGTTGCAGGAAAAGTCCTGGGAAGTCAACACAACTTGCATGATATTGGCAGCAACAAATATTGAGGGTAGGTTGATATATACAAATATGAGTCTGGCATCATAGGCCCCGTGTGCATCTGGCATCATAGGCCCCATTTGCATCTGGCATCATAGGCCCCGTGTGCATCTGGCATCATAGGCCCCGTGTGCATCTGGCATCATAGGCCCCGTGTGCGTCTGGCATGACAAGGGTCCTGTACTTTTATTGACTTTACTTATGAGATGTTAGACATGACAGGTACTAGATGAGAGTTAACAGACATTATTTTCAGAGGCTCACAAATTAGTCACACAGACCTATCTTAACATTCAGCCCTTCCAAATACCCATCCTTCACACAGAAATTGTATTTTAGCCATACAGCGTGTTATGTTGATAGCACATACTTTTGTCTAGACACTCAGAACCATCAGCTCTTCATTTTGCGGGGATAATTAAGTGGACATAAGATTATGATTTTATTAGTAAAAAAAATTGGGGGGGGGGGGAGTGGCGGAGATGTGGTTTTATAGCTGAATGATGAGAATAACGTTGATATAAGAAATGATCTTGAAAGAAACTTACTCACAAAGGAAACTGATTGCCACATCAAAAGGAGACAATCTACATTCTTTGCTCATGTCGTGAGAAGTACACTGGAGTACATTGTGACAGCGGGAAGATTGAAGGGGAAAGAAGTTTGGGAGAGAGAAGATGCTAGTTAGTTTGTCATCATGGCATGGAAAATCCTCTGTCATAATTAATTAAAAGAATGCAAGACAGAAGGTTGTGGATATACCTGAAAACCAATGCCACACGGCATGGACTATAAGAAGAAGGTTATGGTTAGAAAGTTTGTGGAAGTGAAAAAAAATGAAACCTAGTACCAAATTTTAAGCTGTGGTGGCACAGTAGTTCGTATGTAAGCCTGTTAAGGCAGGGGTCTTGAGTTTAATCCCTCAAAGAGGCAGGATAAATGACCCATTTTGATAAATGTGAGCACCAGACAGTTCTCTTTTTGTGAAGTAAAAGATGTGAGGAAGGGAATTAGCCTCACACTATACAACATGGCCTAGAGCAGTGTTCTTCAACTGGTGGCCTGCGGACAACTGGTGGGCCACCAAACATTTCTGCATTATCATGTAGCAGCTGCTTGTTTCTGGCACTGCTTTGCTGTATGGTCAGTGAGTGGTCAGATCTGGACTGTTGTCTTGAGTGGTAACATGAAGAAAAACTAAGGCCGGCTGTTACTCATAAACTACAAACATTCATTAACTAGTGCCTGCGCAGAATTGAGGGAATTAAATGATTTGATAGAATCACTAATGTAGAGCTTTGGAAAAAATCTAAACAACTTCCATTGGAACAAGAAGTTAAGAAAAGACGCTGGTGTTAAAAAGGACACAGGTTGAGAAAACCTAAGAACAATCTAACTAGAATGTATTTACACTGGAACCCACAGGGGCATAGAAATACAGGAAGACCAAAAACAATATAACTAGAATGTATTTACACTGGAACCCACAGGGGCATAGAAATACAGGAAGACCAAAAACACACTGAGAATGGAGAGCTAGAGAGCGAAGTTAAAAAGATAGGGAGGGCTGCATGCGACAGCAAAGGTTAGAATGACTTGATGTGAGTTGGTTGAGGACCTATGCTTCACTTGGGGTTAGAAAGGCAGAAGAAGAAGAACAGTGTTCTTCAACTGGTGGCCCGCAGACAACTGGTGAGGTACCAAACATTTCTGTCTAATCAGGTAGCAGCTGCTTGTTTCTGGCACTGCACTGCTACATAGCCAGTGAGTTGTTGTACGCAACAGTTTGGTGCCGGAAGTATAGGACTTTCGATTGTCAGCTGTCACGCGGTCCCTGAAACAGTTTTCCTTGTTTTAACTCAAACCCACAATAGGGTGCAGAAACTAGGACAGCGAACAAGTAACTAGAAAATAACAATTGGATCTCTGGAGGTGTGAACTAACAGAATAATAGAAAATAAAAGCAATCAAATGCGGAGGTTCTGAGGAGACTGAATGAAAATAGAATTTCTGAAATAACAAAATAATTGAAAAAGTTTGGCAACATGAAAAACATAACGCTTATAACAAAAATATAAAGCTGATACTGGAGAGAAAAGTCACAGGCAAGAGACAGACAGTGATACAAGTGAGAGGACAACTTCATATGGGCAAACAACCATCTGAGTGTACTACCAAAATGAGTTACAAAATGTTGGAGATCCAGTAAAGCCACCCTTCATTGGGGACGGCACCTAGTTCAGGCATGTGAGGGATGATCTCTGTGGTGTCTTGATTTCTTCACGCAGACAAATGTCTTGTAGGAGGGCCTAAAATATTTGTGTTTTAAACTATGTCTGCTTGTATGTTTCAGTACTCCAGCGGAGCAGACTTGAGCCTCCTCCTGTTAGATGTCCTGAGCAAGTCACAGACTCCAGTAACCAGCGATACTTTGAGTGAGTTCCCTAAAGCACTTATAGATAGTATCATGATAACAAATTGTCATATCAAGTTAATCATTGTGAAAACTGATATCTTTCTCGTCTTGTTAGCGATCGTCGGCTGTAAACTGTCGAGAAAAGTTCTGGTTGTTCATCCGCTTCTGTACTTTGGTCTTGTTCCTGAACAGTTGTGCGTATACATCCATTTTACTGATCTGACTTATTTATATGCAGACTGTTGGTTTCCCACATCTCAAGGATATATTCTCCAACTCTAAAGGAAACCACCCTAATTAGTTAGCTTTTAGGACATGCATTTTAGGGGCAGTGGTTTGTTCTCATTTTCTCCAAAATAAGACCCAAATGGAAAATATTTCATCACCCTTTAAATCTATATTTGGAATTTACTCTTTGAAAATGTAACCAGGTCAGACTGATTTGATTTCTATACCTGCTCAAGAGATTTACATGCTGTAAATATTTCTGTTGTGAATATTTCTGTTGTGAATAGCATAAAATGTTTTTAGAATTTTGCCAGAACACTTGCCATTTATAGCCTACTCTTATCATTTCTACATGTTGAAGAACCTTGCAACTGTAGCATCTGATCCAACACAGAAATATCAATTGGTTCTCTTTATGCCTAGTGGTACATGTGGCTTCAGAGAGGACTTTCCATGCTTTCCTGCCCTGTGCAATCTTCAGTGCAGTTCTCCATGTCAGAGATGCAGCACTTAGGTCACTTTTCATTGTTCATCCTCATGTTGTTTTTGGGCTCCCCTTTTTTTCTCTGGTGTCCATGTGAGAGCTGTTTTGGCAGGTATATCCTGATTCATTCTCATAACCTGGCTAAGCCATCTCCATCTTCTCATGGTTATCATTGTGTCTAGAGTTTCTTGGTTTGTGACTTAAAGTTATGTTGTAGTTTACAGCTAGGCTGCAGTATATGTGCCTTTCAGACCAGCAGATTCTATTTCTGCAAATCATTAATTAATCACCTTTTTCGACATGCTTGTTTGGGGGCGTCTAGGGCTTAGGTGTTGTGAACACGTTTCATAATGCCATGGTGCCTGGTTCCATCCCAGCTATGGATTATTTTTCTTGCTATGGATGATTTGGTGGTGATAACTTGGACAGAGCGGACAGCAAAGGCTGAGGTTTGATAACTTCAGTTGTACAGAGCATCACGGGAGCTAAGGTGTTCATGCTTTGTGCTGTGCCATTCTGTTAAGAGAGACTGAGCCATATGAGATGAAACTGAATGCAAAAGGCAGTCCTATCAGTCAGTCTTGACCTTAACCTATAACCTTTGTTAGTACTTATATTCCGGTACAGTCTAGTTCTCAGATATTTTAGTGTTGTTACTTGATGGCGATGAGCAGATTCTTAAATAGCATTTTAGCAAGATTAGTGGCAGCATTTGGTTATGGCCAGAAAGAATTGAGCCCACAAGTTAATGAATGTTTTTGGGAATCAGTTAATGTGAAGCATAATAATACAGGCACTTGATAATGATGATGTTTTGTGGAGTCTCCGTTTTCATTGTCCTTATCGAATGTTTATTTTGTATATATATTTCTTGGTTGATCTTTTTTACATCATCTGCGGCTTCAAGCATCACTGTTTTTTTTTTTTAGTAACTTTGTTTGGTCGCTCATCTTCTACCTTTTTTCCCCCTCTTTGTATTGCCTGGTTCGATCACAGCTGCTTGCCTTGGGTTGGTTTTAACAGTGGTATCTGGGCGTAAATGGGCCTACAAAAAAGCACAACAGCCAAAGAATGCTGGGGTTGGTTCTGCAACATCCTGTAAAGGATACACAACTAACCATGATGTGTAAAAGGATCAGTTTTATCAGTGTTAAAAATGCAACATATGTGGTAAATTGTTTTGATAACATTGCATCACATTTTCAGACCAGATTACTCATCTGTTTGAGAAAATGGACCCAGAATGCCCTGAGAGATACCCATATTTAACAAAAGCCATAAACTGGTCCAAAAAGATCAATAAAGAACACAAAAGAGGACATCCAGATTTGCATCAGCGGTTTGGGGTTATATTCTGGCATGGTAAGTATACTGTTGAACCATAGCAGTTTTATGTTATTGATTCTTACAGTTGAAACATCATTTTTCCTTTGATTCTCTGAGTCCTGATAATCTTTTCCGAGTGTTATCTATACTGTTCTTGCTCGAATTCTTATCTGGATAAGAAGAATTTCTGATAAGAAGAACCATTTCTTGGATCATCGGTGAGTTCTCCATACAAAGTCTGTACTGTATTCATAAATTTTAATGAGTTCTTTAGTAAGACTGTTTGAAAAAAACATGGGCTCCGTAGCACACCATTGACGATAAGAGGGGTCAGAGGTCTTAGCTGATTGGAAACCTTTGCTGTAAACAAATGGTGGCCCGCGGGCTTAATCTGGCCCGCAGAGGTCTAGCAAGTGGCCTGCGGATCATTGCCATGTATTGTAATAGTGACCTTTCTGTGCTCAGGTCTCTGGTCTGTGGCTATCCACATTTTCAAAATGTTGGCCCTTGACTAAACTTGGCCGAATAACCCTGCTATGAACCATTAGCTTGTCAGGAAAGCAGCATTAAGTCTTATGCTGATAATGGAAGGCTAATGATTTTGACTAATTACACACTCTCTTGTCTTCTTCTTCACTTTCACCAGCTGTAAACAAGGTTCTGGTTGTACGTCCAATTTTGGGCTTTACTCTTGTTCCAGAGCTTGAGCTGGGTGTGCACATCCACTTAACAGATCTGACTTATTTATATGCAGACTGTTGGTTCTCTGCCTCTCAGGCAGATGCACTCCTTCAAAAGTTACAGCTCTGATTAGTCGACTTGTATAATTCGCTTGTTAGGGTAACAGAGGGTTAATTATTTTTCCTCAAAATAAAGCCCTGGAACCGACACGGTGGATACTTTCTCTTATTAACTTTTCAGTTCTGGGCTGGTATTTTTTGACCCATCACATTCCAAGGGTTTTTTGCTTCATCAGATTAAATGTTCAGGTGTGGCTGATCTAAACGTATAGGACAGGAAATGTTGTACAGCAATTGAGACCTGGTTCTTTAGTGTAATGGCACAGTGAGACACATTGTCTGCTTGTCGTGCTGATTGACTCCACATAGTGCTAGCTAGCTGATGGTCTAGTGCTCTATTCTGTTCTGTCATGTGCAATCATTTAGAATAGCACTCATTTAGAAGCACCTGTAATTAGTCCACTTTTGTGACATGCTTGTTAGGTAGTATTAGGTTTGTTCCTTTCTCCCACCTTAAGCAGGTCCAGGAACCCACATGTGGATATGGAAGTCTCAAGTCAGTAGTTGATTATGAATTCCAACATCTCAGTGTGGATTATAGGCCCCTATGTGGGGTGGGGGGGGGGGGGGGGTAGTCCTCTGCTCCCAACAAGCATGTCTTAAGAGTCAACTAATTAGAAGGTTGTTTCCTTTGGAGTCGTAGTGCATCTGTCTGAGAGGTAAGGAACCAACAGTTTGCATACAAGAGGTTCTGTCAGATACTTATGGCTCAGAGGAAAGGCAAGATCGACGTTTAATCAAAATGCTACTGGCACCATTAGTATCGTAACTTTTCACTGGCTGCTGAAGATGGGGACCGAGCGCTTATGGGAATGCCCCGAGTGCTGTGATGGCGGTTCTTGAATCAACTCAGCAATACTCAGTTTGCAAACAAATAAGCCAGATTTGTAAAATGGATGGGCATGCATCTCAGGTTCTGAGACAGGACTAAAGTTCTGAAGTGGACGAACAATCACAACTTTCCACCGGAGTTTATTGCCAGCAGACACTAAGAAGAAGAAAATTATGAAATGTAACAGTAATGGATATTGTGTGTATATTTCTATGTCAGAGAGGAATTACCCACAAGCCCGCTATCATTACATACATTCTACTGATGGTGAGGGATGTGCTCGGATGCTGCTAGAGTTCCACACTACCCAGGGTTACCCTTCAGAGGTGGACTTGTTCATCACTCAGGCAGTTTTACAGTAAGTTAATAGCTGGGCTTGTTCAACGTTGGAGTTTTACAATAAGTTAATAGTTGTGGTTTTTCACTATTGGAGCATTTTACAGTAAGTTAATAGCTTATTCATTATCAGATAGTGTTACATAAAGTTAATAGCTGCGCTTGTTCAGTACTGGAGAGTGTTACAGTAAGTTAATAGTTGTGGTTTTTCACTATTGGAGAATTTTACAGTAAGTTAATAGCTGGGCTTGTTCAGTATTGGAGAATTTTACAGTAAGTTAATAGCTGGGCTTATTCAGTATTGGAGAATTTTACAGTAAGTTAATAGCTGGGCTTGTTCAGTATTGGAGAATGTTACAGTAAGTTAATAGCTGCGCTTGTTCAGTATTGGACAATTTTACAGTAAGTTAATAGCCGGGTTTATTCAGTACTTGATAGTTTTAAAGTAAGTTAATAGCTGGGTTTGTTAAGTATTGGAGAATTTTACAGTAAGTTAATAGCTAGGCTTGTTCAGTATTGGGGAGTTTTACGGTAAATTACCAGCTAGCCTTGTTCAGTATTGTGGAGTTTTACAGTAAATTACCAGCTAGGCTTGTTCAGTATTGGGGAGTTTGACAGTAAATTACCAGCTAGGCTTGTTCAGTATTGGGAAGTTTGACAGTAAATTAGCAGCTAGCCTTGTTCAGTATTGGGGAGTTTTACAGTAAATTAGCAGCTAGCCTTGTTCAGTATTGGGGAGTTTTACAGTAAATTAGCAGCTAGCCTTGTTCAGTATTGGGGAGTTTTACAGTAAATTAGCAGCTAGGCTTGTTCAGTGTTGGGGAGTTTGACAGTAAATTACCAGCTAGGCTTGTTCAGTATTGGGGAGTTTGACAGTAAATTACCAGCTAGGCTTGTTCAGTATTGGGCAGTTTTACAGTAAACTACCAGCTAGGCTTGTTCAGTATTGGGGAGTTGTACAGTAAATTACCAGCTAGGGCTTGTTTATTATTTGTGAACACTTTTACAGTAAGAACATAGCTGTGCTTGGTCAGTATTTGGACAGTAAGTAAAGGACCCTTCTCACGCCAGAGGGGCATGTGGCATTTGATGCTAGACTCATATTTGTATAGACCACTTGATGATTGATGTGGTCAACTTCAGGCTGGCCGCCTCAACTTCTCAGGACAGTACCTGGTACCCATTTTAGGCTGGGTCGAAAAATATTCTATTGACCACACAACCCACCTAGTACTGATTTTGTCTATAAAAATGACATTCTAGCATCATGTGAGTTGTTTGAGGTTTCACCTTCAATGCAGATAGATCGCCCCATTACTGCTCAGCTCCCATGCCAGTGGAAGTCGCACAAAATGTCCTTCACTGTCCCATTTTTGAAAGCAGTCCTAGCAAAAAGAAGTCCTAGCAAAAAGAAGCTTGAAGTTTGTACACACAAAGTAAAAATGCATAAGGCAGCTGTCAGATGTGCCAGCCCTAATATTCATACACCAGAAATGCAGCTCACTGTTGGCACATATAGTCGGTCACGAAAGCCATCATTACACCCTGCAAAGGTAGGTGCCATTCTGAATGTAACCAGCCACCTGCCATTTTATTGACCCTATATTCTCATCTTTAAGACACCCCCCCCCCCCCCAATCATATACAATTTTACTCTCCGTATGGGTTTCGGGGTCCCATTGTGGTGGCTGGGGAAAAGGGATAGACCCACTGCCTCCCTAACAAGCATGTCATAAGAGTGACTAATTAAGGGGTTTCCTTCGAAGTTGGGGTACATCTACATGAGAGGCAAGGAACCAGCAGTCTACATACAAATGAGCCAGATCTGTCAAACTGATGTGCCTAACAAATGGAACTTTCATCTGAAGTGGTAACTGCAGGTAGTAAAGACAAAAAAAATTGAATTACTTTTACTGGTGTGTTGTTTAACCTGTATCTGATATGTGTGACTGCTGACAGTTCCCTGTTAAAGAGTTGTTGGCATTTTTCCAATCTTGTTTCAGATATCTTTGCCTTCAGAATAAAGCTACAGCCAGTGTTTGTTTTGAAGTTTACACACAGAGGCATCCTGGTATCGATACGGGACCTCCATTCAGTTTACCACTACTTAACTTCATATGGCTGTTGTTGATTGCTTTAGAAGGGTGAGTGTCACATTATTTATGTTTTGCTACCATACCATAAATTACGGTATGTAAGTCCATGGAAATCCAGTTTTTGAGCTTGAAAAATCCCCCTGTGGGTTCTGGGGCCCTGTTATAGGGAAAACAAAAATAGACCCACTACCTACCCAAAAGCATGTCATAAGAGTGGACTAATTGGGAGCTTTCTTCAAAGTCAGAGTGCATCTGCCTGAGAGGCAAGGAACCAACTGTCTGCATGCACATGGACCAGATCTGTAAAATGGATGCACATGAGGACTACAGTCCAGAAGTGGACAAACAACCAGAACTTTCCACCAGGGTTTACAGCCGGTGAACATGAAGAAAAAGAAGCTTGAAAAAAAAAAAAAAACTAGGGGTCGACTTATATAGACTACATAAGATGCTGACTTTTACCACCTAGTTATAAATGAGCAGGACAGCACTCTTAACAATCACTGTTCACTACATAATGGAACCCCCCCCCCCCCCCCCCCCCCCCCCCCCAGCAGGCTGCCATAAATACGCGGGAGGATAAAAAAGTAATGCCTTGTAATTTTTAATTGCATTCAAATGGCAAGAAAACAGATACAATTCACATAGATTTGTAGTCCCAACTTCCAAAATTTATTTCCTAGTGTAGTCTCTACTTTTTGTTACAGTGTTTGTCCATCTTTTCACAAGGGTATCTAGCCAAGCGCAGTGAAAAAATGTGTATCCTTTTTTCCTAAATACTGGTGTAGCAGCACATTTAAGGATTGCCTTACATCAGCTTTGTCAAAACTATGTACCCAGCATCGGGCAGTACTGTTGAATCTCCATAAACATTCTTCAGATATTCATAGATGAAAATTGGGGTCTCACCTTTGGCATTGAGGTTGGTAACGCTATACAGTGCAGAAAGGTTTTTAGGGAATCCTGCTAAATTTACAAATTGCACACTGATACAGTATTTATATAGATTTAAAAAAAAATATGAGGCAATACTTTTTGACTGCCCCTTGTATATCCCACTAAAATATGTCTTGTCAACAAGGTGCCGGCAGCTAATAGCCAACTGTATGGGGGGGGGGGGGGGGGGGAAGGAAGGGGGTGTTGGGTATAAGCCTGAGAATTTCAAGCTAGACATCTTAAGGTTGACTTGTACGCTGCAATTTACCATTGGTCATGCTGTGTTCATTGACTGTTGTAGATAAATGGTGTGTTTGAGGGCACTGATCTTGTTTTGTGCATTGAATAGTGGGTCCACGGTAGTCACACAGGAAAGGAAAAGGATAACAATGTACAAATGTCTCTTAAGTGATCAGGTAAAGTCCTGGGAAGTAAAGGCTTCCGGCTTCATGTTGACCACATCACCCAACGAGTGCCGATTGGTCTATAAAATATCAGCATAGCCCTATATGCCCAGTACACCTGAGGGGCGTGGAAAATGGTCCGTTACTTCACTCTTAAGTGATACTCTAGTGGTAGTATCTGCTATGAGATAATCTCTGCCTGCTTTGTGTTCCACGCTGTTCTATATTTGCTCTTTCTTTACCAGGGGAAAGTTGCCTGTGTTTACCGTACTATGTGAAAAATACCAAGTGTCCATCAACAGGGATCCAAACTATAAGGAGGTAAGTTTCTCTTGTTATTGGACTTTGGTCTTTGTGTGTATTGTTGTTTGAGGCAGCTTCAAATAAAAACTTGAAAGTGTGATAGAAATGACAATAACCATGGCATTCTCTTGTTACCTGTCAATATTGTGATGTGTCAAAGGTGATGGTTTCTTATCAAGAATTGTTACTGGATGTGAAATCCGGTTTCACGAACCTGAAACGAAGAGAGCAAGCCTGATCTAAAAATGGATAACAGAACACTGCCCCCCTTTGGTGCTTGTTTTAAGTGGGGCAGTCATCTTTAAACTGTCATTATGACATCACGATGTTTGTCTGCAAAGTGATGTCTCGTGCGTAACACTCATGATATCATTGACAGGTTGCAAGACAGTAGCGTGGCTGTTGTAATTTCTAGCACACCATTAACGTTTTCATTCGAAGCGCTGTCATGTAATAATGAAAGAATCTGCCAAACAAGAAGCTAAATGTGCACTGGAAATATAGAATAACAGGTTGTAAAGTCATCATATTGTTTGTTTTTGACTGCGTTATGAGAAGAAAGGAACTAGAATATGTATTGACTGGAAAGATTTGTGGAGAGAGATAAAGGAAGATAGCGTGAGAAATCTCAGGACAGCCTTTTATCATGGCATAGCAAGGTGTCAGCTCACAAACTGATACATGCTGTTGGAGATTGCTGATTAGAGAGAGAGAGGATCACCTGCGCCAGTCAGCGAGGCACTCGATGATGACGTTGATGTATGGTCCTAGAAACAACTAGAAGTCACCAGTTGGCAAGAGAAGGCCAGTCACAGAGATAAATGGAAGCAAGTGATATCTGCAGCAGTAAAACTCAGGGGCTGGGAATGCTGAAGAAGAAGCCCTACAGTGAAGTTCTCTTGAATATTCATCATCATTGTCCTGCTGTGCCATTATGTGTCCAACAGGGTTTGCAGTCTGCTTCTCTGTTCCCTTCTATTCTGTGCAGTCAGTTCAATATCTTGGAGTCCAGACTTTTTGCCTCTCTCATCCGCCTTGGTTTTAGGGTTTCTTTTGGTCCTCCTCTGTCGCTTTATTTCCCATTTTTGTGCTTGTTTGTTGATCCTCTGCTCTTTTCTTCTTGTGATGTGTCTAAAATAGTACTGTCTTTTTGATCTTAAAATGGTTTTTACCAGTAGCTGGCCACATTTCTCTTTTTTCTTCACCTTATGTTTGAATTCATCCCACTTTTCATTGATGATGATGATTACCATAATACTTTGTATTATATATTGTTTTGGGAGCAGTATATGTGTGTGTGTGTATGTGTGTATGCACTTTCAAGTGTTGGTAATTTAATCTATCCATTTGTGTATCCACAGTATTTGGATCAAATAGGTCAGATGTTTTTCGGTGTGCCTCCGCCACAGAAAACACCCCAGGGAATATTTGGTGAGTTTACATGTAGCATCTGTTGTTTTCATATTTTCTGGAAAGTTATTCGTGCCCCGAACAGAAATAGAGAAAAACCACAATTTCCAGTGATTTTATGAAACACCTTCACATCATTGAAGCACCCCACTGTGTTTCTCAGCTAGACACTCGCCTGTGGATGTAACGGTCATGGGTTCAAATCCAAACGGAATTGAACTTTTTTTAAAAAGTGACCTTGGCTCCCAGGTCAACCCAGCGGTAACTGGATACCAGGTAAAGTCCTGAGGAGTGAATGCAGCTGGCGTGATGTTAGCCACCCCACCCACCAAGGGCCGACTGGCCTATAAAATATGGGTATAGTCCAATGTACCCAATAAGCTTGCAGGTGTGGAGAAGGGTTCTTTCACTTGAATATCATGTAGGCAGGCTTTCTTGCTCCTTACTGTCTGGTTATTTATTTTATATTGTCTGTTCTTTAGGTAGCCTTCTGCAAAATGTATTGGGGTCTGCATTCAGCGAAGACGACGAAGATGGACATTTTCCAGAGAGCAGTGGCAGCCAGACTGGCGCCAGCTCCAACAGCCCGAGCATCAACAACAGGGTCCTGGCAGGGGCGTCAAGTCCTTTCCTCCCTGGCAGCAGCAGTAGTTTATCCACCCCCACATCTTCAAAACCCAGCAAAACAGAAAAGGCCCTAGACTTGGACTGATGTGGGGTGTATGCTGTGCGTGTGTGTGTGTGTAGTTTTAGTGCTGTATAAATATGCAGGGTTGTTTGTTAGTGAGGGCTGAGATGTGTGCCTGGTTTTATTGAACCTAGAGTGTGAGCTGTTATGTTTGGGAACGGTGGTTATTTTATAATCTTTGTCACATTTTTATCTGGGGGATTTGGTCGGCTGAATGCTTCTTTGTGCTCTTGTTGCGCCCGTGAGTGCTTGGTCTTCCTATATCAGTTGGCAAAGAATGTATATAGAGATTTTAAAACTTCTGTTATGTACTTATTATGTATCTGCCTGAACTAACCTGTCTCTTTCACCTTTCTACCAGTGTCAGGCTGGAATACATCTTCCAGCATCTTATTTGGGGGTGGAGGGGGGGGGGGGGGGGCCTCATTTTTATCATTGTCCCTTCATATTTATCTTTTATTGGTTAAAAAAAAAAGATTTTCTTTTACAATTTTTATTGGTGGAATTATCGTCTCAGTTAAGCATACTCTCTGTCTCTCTCTATATATCTGTCTATCCATCTGTTTTTCTGTCTGTCTCACATACGCAGAGGCATACATGGAGTTCTTACTCTGTTTAGAAGCATAGAGCACAGTATCAGAATTTCAGTACAGTACGCAAACTCTCTATTGCCAGAGAGGATCCCACTGTGTGTATACCAGAGTCAGTCTTGTTTAAAATACTTTTTTGTGTGTGAATAGGTTTTCTGATTTTAGATCTATACCTGGTAAGTTATTTATTAATATTTTTTGACCTACTCGTTTCTATTTAAGTCTGGTGGTATCAGGTGGTTTTTAACATATGCGACGTACACGTGGCTCTGCCTAGTTTGTAATAAAAATCAGAGAAGACCAGATGTTACTGCACTGTTCCAGGATGGAAGATTTGTATATCTCAGTCCGCCACTTTATAGCAAACAGGTCACCTCAAAGTTATTCAGCTCCTGTGCCAACAGAAACCATGCAGAATGTCCATCACTGCCCCTTGTAAAAAAAAAATAGACACAGAGTGTAGTCTCAGCAAACCAGTAACACGCCCATGCATTAAATGCATAAGGCAGCTGTGAAAAGGACCAGCACAGTCTGACACTAGAAATGCAGTTCATAATCAGTGGTATCAGCAGGAGCACATGTGGTTAACGGCAAAAGGCACCGCCAGTTCTGTGGCCACAGGCCACTCACCACTTTCTGATTCTGCAGCTCACAAACCACATTGGGCGCAGTTGAAAAGATCTGCAGCTCACAGTGTCATGCTGTCACTCAGCTCAGTAGCCAGGTGATGAAACTAATCACATCCTACTTGAAAACTACAACACACCAGTTACCCTTTTAAGGGAATACACAACCGAAGAAGACTCCCAGGTATTTTCTGGTCCCGATTGTGCCATCTGGCTAAGCCATCCAGGTATTTATTTACCTTTCTTCCTTGCTCTCTTTTTCCGTCAGTTTACTAATCGTCACTAAATTTGAAAATGTTGTTTTCATCATAACATGCTTACAAAATCTTGACTGGATAAATCTTACCACCAGCACATTTCTCCAAAACAAATGTTGATGCATTAATCACAGCAACAGCACAGAATATTAACACATTTTAAGTATCTGTGACTAAAATATATCGATTTGAAAAGAGAAAGTTTTCTATTGAGTAAGAATTACAGTTGCTTTTGGTGCTGCATTAGAAGACATTAGATATTTTATCTTATGGAAGACTGTTGCATGTTGCAGAATTTCCAGAAGACAAGTGCATGTTGCATTTTTTTAAAATTTTGCAGTTGCATGTTGTAGTCTTCTAGAAAATGGTTCTTGTGGCAATTTTGTTAAAAACAGGTGTACGGTGCAATTTTCTAGAAGGCAGTAGCATGTTGCTCTTTTTTTGTTTTTGAATACAAAAATGGATAGGTGAAATTATCAGCACTTGAAAGTGCATATATGTCGCTCCCAAAACAATATGTAATATCAATTGTAATGATGGTGTAGTCTCCTAAAAGACAGTTGATGGTACAGTCTTCTAAAAGACAGTTGATGGTACAGTCTCCTAAAGAACAGTTGATGGTACAGTCTCCTAAAAGACAGTTGAAGGTATGGTACTGTCTCCTAAAAGACAGTTGATGCTACAGTCTCCTAAAAGACAGTTGATGGTATGGTTCAGTCTCCTAAAAGACAGTTGATGGTACAGTCTCCTAAAAGACAGTTGATGGTATGGTACAGTCTCCTAAAAGACAGTTGATGGTATAGTCTCCTAAGGGACAGTTGATGGTACAGTCTCCTAAAGGACAGTTGATGGTACAGTCTCCTAAAGGACAGTTGATGGTACAGTCTCCTAAAAGACAGTTGATGGTATGGTACAGTCTCCTAAAAGACAGTTGATGGTATAGTCTCCTAAAAGACAGTTGATGGTACAGTCTCCTAAAAGACAGTTGATGGTACAGTCTCCTAAAAGACAGTTGATGGTACAGTCTGCTAGAAGAAGGCAGCTGCATATTTGCAAAACAAGAGCATTATTGTAAATAATTTTATACATCAGTACATGCATTAGACCAGAAGTGATTAATGATGTATGTTTTTAATAGAATATTGCACTGATGACTGTTCACAGTGTGGTTTTTCTGTCTTTTCCTTGTCTGTTTTTATTGTTGATATATTATCAGATGTGAAAGTGATTAAGATGGTGTTGTGCTGTAGAAAGGCACCCCTTAGACAGATAATGGCACCATATGAAGTATATGATTGTGGGTGTGTGATTATGTATGTATGTGGGTGCGTATACATATACACGTACACACTACCCATAAAAGATGCCTATAGCTCTTGTGTAAGTTTCAACTTTAAACATTTTAAATGTATTCATCTTTGATTTCCCCATGTGGGTTATGGGGCCTCATTCAGGGGAGGGGTGGTAATGAATAGAATCGCCCCACTGCCTCTTAACAAACATGTCATAACAGGCAACTAATTAATTAACTCTTTACTGAAAAAGGCAGTTTGTCTGTTGTGTTGTTTACAGCTAGGCAGTTGCCCACACCCACTCAGCTGGGGCCCCTTTTTGGTCGACCGAAAAGCCTAGGTAATTTTTTTTTTTTACCCAGTCACCTGAAAAGCTCATAATTTGGCTTTGCCATCGATTACAAATTCCTGTGAGGCCAATATTAGGGCATGGTGTTGGCCAATGCCCACTAGCTTTGGTATTGTTTACTACTATGCATTTTTTTTTTTACTTGAGCTGGGTATAATTATATTTATTTAAAAATAACATTTGAGAGATTTTTAATTGTGACTAATGTCCTCTTTTTTAAATTTGTTAGAAGTCATTATGAAATCGTAGTTTGCTTTCAGTCTTTAATCTCTGTATTCATTTAAAAAAATCATTTTTAAGCAGGGGAATGTATTTATTTAGTTCTGTTTCATTTTTACTGATGTAGTTTCTACATCAGTTAACACAATATCGGTGTATGCTAAAGATATTGGTTAGTGGTTTGAGCAACACTATATTGGAGTGGCTACAGGCTTGCTTGTCTGATTGATGGTCTACTGTCTCTACATACCACATTTTTAATTGCCTAATAAACTGATCAAGACTTGCAGGTGTTTCTTCTTCTGTTACTCTAGTTACTTAGGATAGAGATGCAGAGAGATGACAAAGTGTTCTTTTTCTTGTGCGCTATGTCAAATAGTAATTTTTCTAAGATGTTTCTTAAAAAATCCAGGTTTTTTCCCCCACGTCCCCTTTCCTCCCGGGAATTATGGGGCTAAAGAGTTTTTTAAAAATCCAGCTCTTCATAAATATTTTTTTTAAAAATCCCGCTCTCGAGAAATAGTGCACCGAAGAGAGGACTATCACTTCGGGTAATTCACTAGCCACTTAGTTACTATGACTCTCACAACGCTGTAATAGTTCATATATTTTGAATATTCACATTTGCAGTTAATGTCCCTCTTCTTTGTCTTTCTCTTCAACCTGTTTACATCTGCAGACCATTCAGATAGGAGACATTTTATGGCTAGTGGCTGATGCCGAAACAAATATAGAGAGCATTGCCTTTATTATACTCCCTCCTGTGTAGTTTCTGATGCTGCATTGTGGGGACAACAAGAATAGACCCTCTGTCTCCCCAACAAGCATGTCATAGGAGACATCTAGTTTGGGGTTTCCTTCAAAGTCAGAGTGCATCTGCCAGAGGAAAAAACTCTTGACTGCTGTGATGATTATAAGTTTGTATGCTGTCCGACTTGGTGCCATGGGAAATCTGTACATATAACATATATTGTTTTGAAATGTAAAAATTAACTATTTGCTTGGTCAGAACATGTAAGAGTGTCTTGAATGCTGAACTGAACTGACACAGTATGAAGAAAATAAATTGGAGAAATTGTATTTATAAAATTTTTGTTCTTAAAAGTGATTTCAGTGTGTGGTCTTTTCCTTATTTGTTGTGTCTGAAAGTCGGGGAAAGATGAAGTTGGTCAACTCGTCTGTTGATAGAAGTGGGAGGGAGAGGATGCCATTTGTGTCTCTATCTCAGTATCCTCTTCATTTTGCAACACAGGGCTGTAGGTGAAGTGTTTTGGGGTTAACACTAAAGGCATGTTTTCTGCACCCAACACACCCGATTTCATTTTAATGGCATTGTGTGAATTCCTCTCTTCCCCCCATAAAATGGGACCCTGGAACCCACACCGGTAGTTCACATACTGAATATATTGTAGTCCTCTGTGATCCAAACACTAATGATTTTACCTGCCATTCTCAGATAAAGGCGTAGAGCTTGGTGAACTTTAATGTATACGGTGCACATGTTTAATAAAAAAATTGGCATTCGAATGTTGAACAAGGTGGAACTGAATAAACTGTTTTTAGAGCCAGCGATTCCCCCCCCCCCCCCCCCCTTTTTTTTTTTTAAAAAACACCTGCAGCCTGACAAAATCGTAGAAATATTTTGCAGGCTGCCTGAATGGTACATACAGAAACAACAATTATACTGACTATTTCATTGATTAAATCATGATTGTAACTGGGGCCATGAAAACAATGCCTATTAATGAATTTGATAGATCACATGTATGCAACCAGTGGAGGATAGAAGAGACAGCAGAACCAAACAACAAGCTGAAACAATTAGAAGGCTGACAGATCACCCCCATGTATCAAAGGTTTCATGATGTAGGAAAGAGGAAGACTAAAGCGCACACAAAACAGACTTTCCGTGTGGTTTACCAGACTTCGAACAGAAGACTTTTGAGTATCGCCGAAGCCATAACAATAAAAATCAACAACCCCCTCCTTTGTAAGCAGACGGAATTTATCGTACATTTGAGGTTACCCTGGTAGTCAGTGACTACGGTGAGCTTCCGGCGGCCATGAAACAGAGACAATGTATCGAAGAAACTTCGCATTTCAGTTGGATTTATTCAGTTGTGTGCTTTATTGTATGTTGATGTGACTCTGTAGTAACGCACCTGATGAGATACAGCGAAATATGCCTGGCAATAAATTGTGCAATGCATTGTTTGTATCCGCATTATTTAAAAATGACTTTGTAGAGACTGCAAATACTAAGATCAGGGAAGATTCTTTACTTAACATATCAACATCCAAATCTGTCCACATTACAGAGAGACTTCCTGCTTGGAGACAGCAGCACCGGCCTGGGTCAATAGAAAATGTTCCTGTTGTTGAGAAAAAATACATTAAACTATAAAAACAATACCCAAGTAACACTTGAACGCAGTAAACTCCGGCGGAAACTTCTAGTTGTTCATCCACTTCTGGACTGCAGTCCTGATCCAGAACCTAAATGTTGCGTTGCATCCGTTTGACAGGTCTGACCAAATTGTAGACTGTTGGTCCTTGCCTCTCAGGCAGATGCACTCCGACTTCCAAAGAAGCTCTCAATTAGTCGACTCTTACCACATGCTTTTGGGTAGGCAGTTGGTCTATTCTTGTTTTCCCTATAATAGGGCCCTGGAACCCACACGGGGAGTACTGAATCTGGAAAATTGATAAGAGAAAACAAAGCTGGTTTCAGTTGGGAAATTCTCAAGTAATTTTAGAACAGAGGCCTTGAAAATTGCAACAGAAATGCTTCTGTCAGATAAAAATAGAGAATGAACGAATGCACGAACTTTATTTTCAAAGGGTCACAAATTGGGCACGCAGGCCCGTCTTCGAGTCAACCATCTTTCGCACAGCAGTTGTATTTTACTAATAAAGCATGTTATGATCATATGATGTTATGCATATTATGAATATTATAAAAGAACACAAAAGCATGAGTTGTAAAGTGCATGCAGAAACCCGCGTGTGCATACATACACCCACATACACACGCTCACCCACTCACACACACATACATCCATGCATACATTACATACATACAAACAAACATGCATACACACATACACACAGGCATACATACACACAAACATACAGGCATAAATACAAACATACAGGCATTTATACATACATACATTCATACATACATACGTAATACAGGCATACACACATACAAACATACAGTCATATATACAGTCATGCATGGAGACACACGGACACTCCCACAGACACACACACACTCAGACAAAAATACAGACACACACTTACATATAAACACACACAGGCAAACACACAGCACACATATTTATATTCGTGCTCACACACTGACACACACACCACACATACACAGACAAACATGCAGACACATACATACAGCCACATAGACACACACGCAGTCAAACACACACACACAAATATGCGAAGCCAGTTGTCATAATACTGAAGAGTCCCCCCCCCCCCCCCTCCCCAAAAAATACGGAACTGGTAGACCTTAGAACCATGGACTGGGTCAGATCGGGTCACCCATTGGCTCGCCGGTAAACGACTTCGTCACCAGTCGGGGTAGTATTTGGGTTTGTCTTCTTTGATCGCATCAATACCGCGAGTCCTTATCATGTCTGCTTGGAGGTTAAGCCATTTTTATATGGCGTACATAACCTAGTCACATTTATATTGAAGAGTCCCGTTTTCGGGGTGCTGGTTGACCGAGACGACCCCGCCCCCCCCCCTTTTTTTTTCCGCCTGCAAAAAAAAGGAAATCTGAAAAAATAATAGGCATGGTACCAGGAAGGAGGGGCAGGAGCCGAGCAACACGAAGATGGGCACAGGATGCAGGTATAAGTGACTCCTTGAATATGAACGTTCAAGAGGGGCATGAAACCTATATCAGACAAAGTAAACAATAAAGTGCCACAATTTTTTTTCCTTAAATGATCAACATTTGGGAAAACAGTAATGGAGGTATTATTCCTTGTAAGGACGGCAGAAGTTGACCAGTACATTCGTGGACACAAGACGTAAAGGGACACACTGGCGTGTAAGTGGACAAGGCAGGAAAGTTAATGAGATGTCTGGTAGCTTTCTAGTGTACCTTTATGGGAGCGACATTCTGCAAAGAACGTTCAGCAAGATGATTACTGTGATATAAACCTCAGTCCACCAAAGCAAATCTCACAAGAACGGGTTTTTTGCGGGGGAAAAAGGGGGGGGGGGTGGCGCCGACATTGGGCTACTAGTGCCAAACATGGACTACAACTAATGAGCGGAAGATCGTAACAACAGAGATGAGATGTCTAAGAAGAGCTGCGTGTGTGGCAAGAAGAGATAAAAATCAAGAATGAAGAAATCAGAAGAAGACTAGGACTAAAACCAGTCATACAATTCATTAAAGAACAACAAATGAGATGGTTTGGCCACCTGACGAGAATGCCCTGGTATTAACCGCCACAGAGAGCCATGTTGAAGAAATATAATGAACACAGAACAAGGGGAAGACCACGAAAGACATGGAGAGACACCATAAGGAATAACTTAACAGAAATGAATACCATCTTGTACAATGCATTGAAAAAAGCGCACGATCCTTACCTACCATCGCCCCCTCCTCCTCCTCCAACACCTCGATGAAGTTAATGGTGAAAGAAAAGAAGAATAAAATTGATGAATCCATGATTTACACAAAGTCATGCACACTTTGTAAACCTCGCACCACATCGGGAAGTTCCACCAATTTGCTTGTTTCATTCAGACAACAGCAAGCACAAGAATCTTATTACTTTCAGGATTCATGCATGGATAGTTTATATTTCCCTAAGTAGACACGACTTTGTCAGAACTTACAGTCAGCGCAGAAAACTTGTTAACGTTCAACATTTGTTTAGCGGTTATCTTAACCCTGGTCACATTAACAATAGGATGAAGTAAGTAAGATATGTTAAATCTTCACGTTTAAGTCAGTTCAGGTTATTACTGTGGCACCCTGGCCATGCAGTCTTAGACAAGGTTTCAGCTTTACTGTTTACTCAGTAAATTACTGCAATCGGGTCACCCCATATTTGCTTTGTTCCTGTGCCAGGGAAAATCAAATGAAATATGTCTCACTGTCCCATTTGAAAAACTGGCGGACAAACAGTTAGTCCCTTGCAGAATCCAGAAATATGCGCCGTAATGAGAGCGACGTCCTGCAAACAAACTTGCAGTGTGAAAAGAATTATGTGATGACAAAAGGTGATATGTCATCATCCAGACTAACTGAACTGTCAGCGCTCAGTGACTCTTTCATCAACGCTCCTCTTAGCCTTTCTTTTGTACGTACTCACCTCCTTAATCCCTGTATTTCCTAGTTTAATGCCTGTTTGGTGATTCTCTGCTAATTTCTTCTCAGGGTGTGTCCACCAATAGAGCGCTATCTTATCTGTCTTATAACTGTTGATACTAGTGGTCGTCGCGATATCTCTCCTATTTCTTCACTGCTTTTGAATTCATCCCGTTTTATTTCCACAATTTTTGCAGACATTTGTTTTTGAATGCATTTAACTTTCGTTTATGTATGTATATATATATACATGTATAAATATATCATCATTGGCAACTTTCCGTCTTTCCAGACGATAGTGTTAAATTGCGCTATGAGGAGGTATGGGGCTCACAGCCCATGGCGATGGCGAGTGTGACTAGCAAGACCCGCCCATGTCAAGAAAAGTCTTCCACAATGATAGCATGGGATTTCAGACTTCGCCACAGAGCCGACGTATGTATATATATATATTGTGGAAGATATTCCTTAACCCTGGCGGGTCTTGCTAGTCACACTCGCCATCGCCATGTGCTATGAGTCCCATGCCTCCTCATAATAAAAGACTCACGTCTGAAAAGACTTTCCTAAAAACTTTCAAATGTAAATTGTGTAGCACGTGTCTCTCCACTTAAATAAAAAACGTCTAGAAGTTATTCTGTAATAATAATTATTGGAAGATTCGTCATACAAAATTAACAATGAACATGACGAGAGTCAGGAGCTCTATTTTCCTATTCATGCAGAGTGATTTGCCCAAGTCGGGGGCCCGTGACCTTCGAGAGAAACTCGAACCTCTGCCACCTGACAGGTACCAGTAACAACGACAACCTGTGCCACTACACGGGCGTAGAGCCCAAACTCCCGACCTTTAGCTACCCTCAGTATGACGAGGAGGTGATCTGTCCTCCCAGTAGATTCCTACCGTAAGTTATTTTACTTATTTGCTATCTCACTGCATTCATCCTCTCTCTCTCTCTCTCTCTCTCTCTCTCTCTCTCTCTCTCTCTCTCTCTCTCTCTCTCTCTCTCTCCTCTCTCTCTTTCTTTCTCTCACTCTCTCACCCACATCACTTACTCCAACTCTATCTCTGCCCTTCTCCCCCCCCCCCTCCCTCACTTTACCCGAAGGAAGTTTCCAAAACAGCCTTCTCTAGTGGACTCACAAGAGCTTGTATTTGGAGCTGACAACTGAATTTAGAAGAATACAAAGTTACTGAAACGAGCATGCACACCTTAGGCCAGCTGCTTCCTTCCTTGCCATCCCAGGGTGTCGTCGCTTTGTCATGGCGGTAGACCAGCAGCAAGGGAGATTTTTCCGTGTCAACAGCGACATGAACCGGATACAGATTTGTCATGGCGGTAGACCAGCAGCAAGGTTAATCACAGGTGAATCTTTCCCGTGTCAACAGCGACATGAACCGGATACAGATATGTAGAATTATCCCTGTCCATGCCGCGTTGCACTCTCCACCCTGCTACCTCAAGATGTGACGGCCCTATGTTGCAAAAAATCCCAAATCTATAGTTTCACGCAAGCGGATAGGGCAAATCCCAGACACCACGTCATTGGTAGCTACCGAAATGGGGTTTGTAGTGGCTAATATTGTCGGCTCTGTGGCTAATATTGTCGGCTCTGTGGCTAATATTGTCGGCTCTGTGGCTAATATTGTCGGCTCTGTGGCTAATATTGTCGGCTCTGTGGCTAATATTGTCGGCTCTGTGGCTAATATTGTCGGCTCTGTGGCTAATATTGTCGGCTCTGTGGCTAATATTGTCGGCTCTGTGGCTAATATTGTCGGCTCTGTGGCTAATATTGTATTGTCGGCTCTGTGGCTAATATTGTCGGCTCTGTGGCTAATATTGTCGGCTCTGTGGCTAATATTGTCGGCTCTGTGGCTAATATTGTCGGCTCTGTGGCTAATATTGTCGGCTCTGTGGCTAATATTGTCGGCTCTGTGGCTAATATTGTCGGCTCTGTGGCTAATATTGTCGGCTCTGTGGCTAATATTGTCGGCTCTGTGGCTAATATTGTCGGCTCTGTGGCTAATATTGTCGGCTCTGTGGCTAATATTGTCGGCTCTGTGGCTAATATTGTCGGCTCTGTGGCTAATATTGTCGGCTCTGTGGCTAATATTGTCGGCTCTGTGGCTAATATTGTCGGCTCTGTGGCTAATATTGTCGGCTCTGTGGCTAATATTGTCGGCTCTGTGGCTAATATTGTCGGCTCTGTGGCTAATATTGTCGGCTCTGTGGCTAATATTGTCGGCTCTGTGGCTAATATTAACAATTACATTACACAAAAAGTAGAATAATCCTTTTAACCAAGCACAACGTCTAATGTAAAATACCTATCATCATCATCATCATTGTTATTATCCTATCATCATCAAATAGCAGATCCTTGACAAAACGTCACTCTCATAACGGCACGCCTGTAACTCTCGTTCACTAGGTTAGCAGTTTCCAATTTGTGGAAAGGGGTGGGGGGGGGGGGAGAAAGTATTTGAGGGGGGGGGGAGAAGGGTCAAGCAGTGTGTAAAGTGAGAGCATTTATACTTGTAATATTCCGGAATTTTGAGCTTGATCAAACATGAAAACAAAACAGCACTACCAGCTGGATGTAGTGTAATCATAATTGTGCCGTAACCAACATCAGAGCAAAAACAGCAGTTATCAAGAAGAAATAAAAGTCTCAGTCATCACATTAATACTTAGACGTTAAATTAACGGTTGTTGGTGATTTTTTTTTTTTTTTTTTATTCTTTTTTTTTGACGCTTGGAATTTTGTGTGTGTTCTTACTTGTGTGTGTGTTAATATTATTTGGGATTTATTTGTTGTCCTCTTGGTAATCACATTTTGTTAGTGGGCGTGTCCTTACCATACACTCAAGGGGTGGGGTGTGTGTGTGTGGGGGGGGGGGGGGTCTTGTCATGACCTCAAGAGGAGGGGCGTGGTGCGTCTTGTCATTCTCTTAAGAGGGGCATGGGGGTCTTGCCAAATACTCAAGGTGAGCCACCTTGAAAAACGTTGGCTTCTCCTGCTTTAAACAATTCTCCACCCTTTGTGTTTTCCTAGCCAATTTATCTTTCATATCTTGTATCCACATTCGCGAAGGTTGCCTCGGATTCGTTTTTTTTTAAATCGTTTTTTGTGTGTGTGTTTTTGTTTTAGAAACTGTGCGACCCCCCTCCCCCTTTTTTTCTTTCTCCTACCCCCCCCCCCCCCCCCCCCCCCAGTCACGATCTCACAAGGCCTGCATAACGTTTAACGTAGCCAAAATACCTCACTTTAGGACCAGGATGCTGTTTATGAGCCAGTTCTCCCCAAATCATGTAGGAGATGTCTTCTTCTTGAAATGTAGATACCTGTATACGGTAATAACTTACACTTTTTATCATTTATACTCCATGCACAATGATGCCACAACTCTATCAACTGCACACATTTTAAACAGTCCCCTTTCAAGATAGCAATTCTTAGGAAAAACATCTCATAGATGATCAAATCAGAGAAACGACGTTTAACTGTATGACACAATTCTTAGGAAAAACATCTCATAGATGATCAAATCAGAGAAACGACGTTTAACTGTATGACACAGTTAAACTGACATGCCTTAGAGGTTTAGAAGTAAGCCGTTCACTTTGTAGGTTCCGGGACCCCATTGTGGGGAAAGCAAGAATAGACGCACTGCCTCCCTAACAAGCATGTCGTAAGAATCGACAAATTGGAGGGGTTTCCTTTGAAGTCAAAGTGCATCTGTCTGAGAGGCAAGGAACCATCAGTGTGCATGTAAATAACCCAGACCTGTAAAACGAATGTGCACGCAACACACACGTTCTGGAACAAGACTAACAGTTCAGAAGTGGAAGAACATCCAGAACTTTCCCCTGGAGTTTACAGCAGATGAACCAGAAGAAGAAGAAATACACTGCAGCCCAGTGTGGGCAGGTTCTCAAACTCTCAACTTAGTCCTCACCATTAACAACATTTGTGCCATAACATTGTCCTTCCACTCGAACACAGGCCGAGAAAACTTCCAGCAGAACTGCGAAGATTTAACGAAAAGTTCGAGAAACGTCGCAAAACGGTAAGCAGCCATTAGTAGTTATGTAGCCAGGTTTAAGATCGAATTAGGTGCTGAAAGTACTAAAGGTGACTCTACCCTGCCTGCAATGGCAGGCATTATTAAATGGAAATATTGGGGACATATGATGCTAAACGTTTAGTTATTTAAAAAACAAAAAAGGAACAGACGTTGTGGGGTCAAGTCGTCGTGTTGGTGTGTCAGCTGAGGGGAATTATGGGTCACCGAGGAGCCATGACATATAATACAATAGGATAATTATGTCAAAGGGGATGTGCGTGGTGTCTGGGGATTAGGTGCCGGTTACTGATGGTTTTAGCGGTAGCTTGGCTGCGATATTTGGGTGGTCTGATATAGGTTGTGGTGAAACATGTCGTAGGTGTATTATTGACTTGTGAATGGTGGGGGGTGGGGGGGGGGGGGTGCCGCGCAGTGGTGAAGGTAGTGCAGTGTGGTGTGGAAGCAACGGTTCGTGTGGGTAGCGAGGGGTAGTGTGGGTGCCGCAACTTGATACAAAAATTAAAGGCGAGGACGCAGTAACCTCTGGTTGGAGTGCATCAGACTCTGGGTGGAGCACATCAGCCTCTGGTAGGGGCACAGCGACCTCTGGTTGGGGCACAGCAACCTCTGATTATGGCACAGCACCTTCTGGTTGGGGCACAGCAACCTCTGGTTGTGACGCAGCAACCTCTGTTTAGAGTGCAGCAACCTCTGGTTGGGGCTCAGCAACTTCTAGTTGGGGCGCAGCAACCTCTGGTTTGGCGCAGCAACCTCTGGTTGCGGCACATCAACTTCTGGTTGGGGCACAGCAACCTCTGGTTGGGGCACAGCAACTTCTGGTTATGGCACAGCACCTTCTGGTTAGGGCACAGCAACCTCTGACTGGGACGCCGCAACCTCAGGTTGGGGCACAACAACCTCTGGTTGGGGCACAGCAACCATTGGTTGGGGCACAGCAACCTCTAGTTGGGGCACAGTAATCTCTGGTTGGGGCATTGCAACCTCTGGTTAGGTCACAGCAAACTGTGGTTGGAGCACAGCAACCTCTTGTTGGGGCACAGCAACCTCTGATTGGGGCACAGCAACCTCTGATTGGGGCACAGCAACCTCTGATTGTGGCGCAGCAACCTCAGGTTGGGACACAGCAACCTCAGGTTGGGACACAGCAACCTCAGGTTGGGGCACAGTAACCTCTGGTTGGGGCACAGCAACCTCTGGCTGGTGCACAGCAACCTCTGGCTGGTGCACAGCCCCTGTGACTTCGTCTTAAATATTTAAAAAAAAATATTGGGGGGGGGGGGGGGTTGGGTTACCTTCCATTGTTTAAGCTATCCAGGATGTGGCCGCCGTGAATAAGCTTTGACAAGACTTGTACGTGCACAGTAAGACAAAGTCCTATAGAGTACAACGCAGCCGACCAGGGCAATAGTCAGTCGAATAGCTCATATATGGGACGAATAGTTGGTTACCCGGGCAAGCTGACTTTGAAATTGTCCCTTTTAATTTGTAAGAAACAACTCACAGTCACTTTTGGATACAAACAGGCAGACGACTTAGCAAGTAGACATCAAGTGACACAAGGTCCAAAAGAGAAAGACATCTAGTATGTACATCTAAAGTGTAGCAAGGACAGTAGATGACTTACCAAGAAACTTCAGTGTCACAAAGAAAAAGACATCGAGTGGTATCGCAATAGAGAAAGACCGAATAACCAGATTGTAACAGGTACCATCAGTATTGGAACTCTGCGCTGGCTGCTGAAGATAAGGACGGAGCACGCACGGGAATGCCTCGAGTGCTGTGATGACAATTCTTGACTCAACTCAAGTATACTGGAGAAAGACATCAAGTGACGTAAAATATCTGAAGGGTCAAAGGCTAGCAAATAATTTATCAAAGGGGGAAAAAAACTTCAGTCAACAGGCGACAAGATGTCACAAAGGAGAAAGACATCGATCGGTGTGGCGTTGAAGAAATACATCGAACGACTTTAGGTGTAAACGACCGTGACGCATAAGTATCGACAAGCTTTGAAATATACAGAAAAGACATAGAGTGATTTAAAGCGCTCCAAGGGAAAAGGACACCGAGCAACTTAAGGTGCAGTAGCGTCCATGCCTGACTTAAGAAGATGTGTCGGTGTACCACTTGACATGAGTTAAAAAGATATCCGTCAGTAAATAAAGTTGGCCAAAAGTTGACAAACTGAAAATTTTCACAAGTTAGTTAAAGCTCTTACAATGTTTAATAGTGACCGCTTCGAAAAAAGTGTCCGTTAGTGCCAAAGCTGAAATGTTGCTCTGTGTAGAAATATTGAAAAGATGTCTGTTGGATAACAAAACTGTTAAATTAGTGAAAGATCTGCCAGAGACAGCGGAATAGCAAGAAAAATAGACGGTTAGAGGATTCAATTGGCAGACGGATCTTTAAAAATCGCCCATTTATTTGTAAAAGCTGACCCACCTATTAAAGGTTTACAGGTTTCCCTATGTATTTAAATTGATAAGATAGACGTCAGTGACAAAGATGACAACAATAAAACAAAAAGTTGACGAAATTTTAAAATATTTACAAATTAGGAAAAGATCGGACACGTTCGCTAGTGACTGCTTTAAAAAACAACAGTCCGGCTCCGTCAGCACCCGAACCCACCACCTTCGGATCGACAGGCGAGCATCTAGCCACTACACCACAGCGGCTCTTCTCGTTAAAATGCATTAAAATATAATGCAAATATGTCGTCATTTATGTCTTAAGTGTTCCGAACGCGCTTTGTAATGTCGAAGTACTCTGTTCGATTTGGCAGTAGAGACTACTGTCTCTTGTCTGTTTTTGGCTGTCTTTTTTTGTGTCTGTCTGCCTGCCTGCGTGTGTGTGTGCGCGCGTGCGCGTGTATGTATGAATATGTAGTGGATGTGTGCGCGTGTGTGCCTGCGTGTGCGCGTGCTTGCATGTAAGTAGGCGAATAAGACTTCTCATCCCACATACTCTTACATCTGTAGATATTCTGCTGTCAGCCCCACCTGCCGCCAGCCTACCGCCCGGTGTTGACGGTCCCGCCAGCGGAGTTCTGGACTCACGTTGACCTCTGCAACCCCTGGCATTTCTTTGACAGGTTCGTGTCCGCGGTTATCGCATTTACATCAAGCTTAGGTACTACTGTTAACGTTAATGACTTAAGTTTCGTACTACTGTTAACGTTAATGACTTCAGTTTCGTACTACTGTTAACGTTAATGACTTCAATTTCGTACTACTGTTAACGTTAATGACTTGAGTTTCGTACTACTGTTAACGTTAATGACTTCAGTTTCGTATTACTGTTAACGTTAATGACTTCAATTTCGTACTACTGTTAACGTTAATGACTTCAGTTTCGTACTACTGTTAACGTTAATGACTTCACTGTTAACGTTAATGACTTCAGTACTACTGTTAACGTTAATGACTTCAGTTTCGTACTACTGTTAACGTTAATGACTTCAATTTCGTACTACTGTTAACGTTAATGACTTCAATTTCGTACTACTGTTAACGTTAATGACTTCAGTTTCGTACTACTGTTAACGTTAATGACTTCAGTTGTACACCACTGTCGACTTCGTCATCATTATAATTATCATCATCATTATCATCGCCATCTTCATTATCATAGTTGTAAACATCATGATCATCATCATTAGGCTTTTTGGGCAGCGTAACGATGCAGTGTTTTCCTTAAGCATAATCATTTGGGTAAACTCGGTCACCAAACCTATTCTGGGCCAACACGCGAACACTCCATGGCGAAGTGGTCAAGCTGTTTGCCTCGCACTGTGAAGGTTGCGGGTTCGTTTCACGGCTGCGTCGTTCACCTCACGAGTGCGGTTTTACGGGGATCCCTGGGGATTGGGGCCAGTGCTGCAGAGTTCGTGCGTTGTGTGATGCTCTTGACAGGCGGCTAGTCGTTCTGCAAAGAGAGGCCGAGCCATATGGGATAAAATCCATTGCAAAAAGTCAATCCTTTCGATTTTAAGCTTTAACCTTTTTATATGAACAGCCAATCATATTTTTCCTCTAGCGCACTTAATTTTCCTTATGTCACCTAATTTTTTTCATTCTAGCAGGCTGGTGATTTGTGAAAGGGAGTAAATTTGCCTGGGAGGTGAGGAAACAACAGTCTGCATATAAATATGCCAGATCTGTAAAACAGACATGCACACGAAGCTCAAGTTCTAGAAGAAGACCAAAGTCTTGAACAGCTAGAACTTTCCACCGGAGTCTACAGTCGGTGGAAGCTCAGAGGAAAGTCTACAGTCGGTGACACTCAGAGGAAAGTCTACAGTCGGTGACGCTCAGAGGAAAGTCTACAGTCGGTGGAAGCTCAGAGGAAAGTCTACAGTCGGTGGAAGCTCAGAGGAAAGTCTACAGTCGGTGACGCTCAGAGGAAAGTCTACAGTCGGTGGACGCTCAGAGGAAAGTCTACAGTCGGTGGAAGCTCAGAGGAAAGTCTACAGTCGGTGGAAGCTCAGAGGAAAGTCTATAGTCGGTGGAAGCTCAGAGGAAAGTCTACAGTCGGTGGAAGCTCAGAGGAAAGTCTACAGTCGGTGGACGCTCAGAGGAAAGTCTACAGTCGGTGACGCTCAGAGGAAAGTCTACAGTCGGTGGAAGCTCAGAGGAAAGTCTACAGTCGGTGACGCTCAGAGGAAAGTCTACAGTCGGTGGAAGCTCAAAGGAAAGTCTACAGTCGGTGGAAGCTCAGAGGAAAGTCTACAGTCGGTGGAAGCTCAGAGGAAAGTCTATAGTCGGTGGAAGCTCAGAGGAAAGTCTACAGTCGGTGGAAGCTCAGAGGAAAGTCTACAGTCGGTGGATGTTCAGAGGAAAGTCTACAGTCGGTGGAAGCTCAGAGGAAAGTCTACAGTCGGTGGACGTTCAGAGAAAAGTCTACAGTCGGTGGACGCTCAGAAGAAGAAAAACAGACAGACAATGTAGTTGGTTCCGCAACCACTTTGTGGTAAACTGATTTGGGACACTCTTGAAATGGTCACTATCCTTTAGAACAATGTCTTTCAACCTTCCAAATGTCGCGACCCTCTAATACAGCTCCCTCATATTGTGGCAACACCCAAATAATTATTTTCTGTTATAACTTCAATGAATATGTGTTTTCCGATGGTCTTAGGCGACCACTGTGAAATGGTCGTTTGACCAGAAAATGGGGTCGCAACCGGCAAGTTGAGAGCCGCTGGTTTAGAAGTTTGAAGCTTGAATAACAGATCAACATCATGGCACACGGGTAGTAACCCATAATTTCTCCGTTCTTCTTCTAACTTAAGTCTGTTTGGCTACTTTTTTTCGATTACCAACTGCCAAGGGATTTTTTACGTGCGCAACAATGTACACGGGCGTCCGATCTCACTGCCCAGAGACATGGGGTGGAAAGAAGGGGAGGGGGGGGGGGATTACTAGACGTCTAAGTGCACGTGTAAAAATCCCAGCCCTTACCGGGGATTGAACCCGAAACCTCTAGCACTCGAGGCGGACACCATGCCTCGAGACCACTCACCCCCCCCCTTTCCCCTTCCCGGCTGGTTTAGAGGCAAGTGAACAATGAAGAAGAGCATCACGGTCTTTAGAGAATGGTGCAACGTGGGTCGACCAGAGGGTCATAACGACACTCAAGACTTACAAGAAAGCCGAGACGGACACATTGCCAGACTGCTACGGATATCAATGGTACTGAAAGTCCAGTGGCTGTTTGCCGAATTAACAGAATGGCTTCAGGTTGTTAAAAATGTGGATAGTCCGATATTGGAATAGTAGTAGAAGGCTAGTTTATGTTGTCTAGTGAGTCCTTTTATCTCTATACTTCTTTCTGTGAGTGTCAATGCAATGTTTGTTTTTATTATATATATATATAACTTCTACGACCCTAAAGGTTCCCCCTCTGTTTATTTGAATGACTTTAAGACAATTCCTAGCAAGGTAGACTAGTCATGGTACTTCTCTACTATCTTAAAATTAACGATTGTACCCCTTTGTTCCACAGATCTGCATGCTGCAACAAACCCCGACCTTATAACTGGGTCAACGACAGCTGTCCGACTCCCTATTGCAGACCTGGAGGAAAAGCCACTCCGCCCTACGTCATACCGTATCCGAGCTTGGGTCTTTACTTTCCTCCCTGCGATTTCTTCAGGGTTCATTGCTGAAAATCTGCTTGCTCCAACATATTTTTTTTTCAGCATGCGCCCTATAAAGGGCTGTTGGCATTCTGTGTTGTATTTTGCAGCTAGGTCGCGATATCAGCTCCCTTCGGTACAATACGTCCGTTTCAGGAAACCTCTAATTAGTTGCTTTTTATGATGTTTCTCAAGTGCAGTGAGTCTGCTTTCCGCTTACCCTCCCTGTCACTCCCGACATGGGAACCCGAACGCATACAGGGGCGCAAACGAAGGCGATATTTTAATTAACTGTTGTTTGTACTTGTCGGCTCTGTGGCTAAGTCGATGCGAACGCTTCGTAATGCCGGGTTCGATCCCAGCTGCGGGCCATGCGCCTTGTGTTGGTTTCGACAGTGGTATCAAGAAAGCCGACCGTCCAGAGCAATTGCAAACAACTGGACGTAAATTTACCTAGAAAAACCACACAACAGCCAGGGGCTGTTGGGGTTGGTTCTGCAACGTCCTGTAAAGGATACGCAACTAACCTTGTTTGTACTTACTTCGTCCAAAAATGGGATGCGATTTGTAATTTATTTTGTCATCGGGGTCTCTAATATCACCTAACGGTTTCTGGGTGAGCCGGGTGATTGTCATACGAATGGTGGCACTTTGTGTCACCGGGTGTTCATGGCTTGTGGTGCGGTCCTGATGGGGTTGAACAACAGCCAGTCAATCAGTTAGTTGGTTGTTTGTCAGAAAAGGGTAAGGAAAATGAAAAAGCTTTCTAATAGTAACAACTACTCATGTTTTTTTAACTGGGCACACCCTATCAATGTTACCTCTGGCTGGGGCAGTGGGTCCATTCTCTCCCCACCCCCCTCTTTTCCCTTCCCCACACAATTTGGACCGGTACGCACACTGCAAATGTTTTAATATAGATAATAATCACCCCACACGTCCGTCCGTCTGCCTGTTCTATTTGTCTAATCGAATCTATCTATCTATCTATCTATCTATCTATCTATCTATCTATCTATCTATCTATCTATCTATCTATCTATCTATCTATCTATCTATCTATCTATCTATCTATCTATCTATCTATCTATCTGTCTGTCTGTCTGTCTGTCTGTCTGTCTGTCTGTCAGCCATTCATTAACTTAGTCGGTCTTCATATCTGTTTTCCTCTCCGTGCTTGAATCATTTGATTTAACAGGCTGTCTGTTGAATGCCCCTTTACACTCTACGTTCCGATTGTTTTCTTCTCTCACTTCCTTTTTCGTTTCATCTCCCATGCGAGGCGATCAATCGCAGTATTTATGTTGTTTCGACATACCGCTGATTCTCCCTTCTGATGTTGTTTGACAAAGGCAGTCCATAAAAGCACATTAAAAAAAGGTTAATCGAAAATAGTTTGCGGGACCGAAACTGTTTCGTATAAATATTTTAAAGTGCAGTATACACGTAATATAATTTACTGACAATTGTAAACAGTGTGTTCGTTTTTAACTTGTATCTGTTGTATGTGACACGAGTTTTACAGATGTAGCAGAATGTAGAGAGAGAGAGAGAGAGAGAGAGAGAGAGAGAGAGAGAGAGAAAGAGGGGGAGAGAGAGAGGGAGAGAGAGAGAGAGGGAGTGCGAGAGAGAGAGAGAGAGAGAGAAAGTGGGGGATGGAAAAAGTTGGGGGAATGGGGGTGGATTGGACAGAATATGTCAAGGACGTTACATCTCTCATTGAATAGATTATTTTGTGGTTAAAGCATGTATCGTTTCACGTCGTTTTATTAGTATTGCATTTTCTGCATTGACCACAGAGGTACTTACCCGACAGTCTAGCTATATACAGTCTTTCCTAGGTACATACCTGAACACATTAGCATGCACGCCCATCTGTCTACTCGTGCAGGCATACGCATACATACATACATACATACATACATACATACATACATACATACATACATACATACATACATACGTACGTACGTACGTACGTACATACATACATACATACATACATACATACATACATACATACATACATGCTTGGTGGAGGTGTGGACAGGTGATGTGCTCTACACCGGGTAACACCTGACCTTAACACACCAATTATATATGTATGCATAAATACGTACACACACATACACACACACACATATGCATAAATACGCACACACACATTTATGCATACATTGGTAGGGATGCTATCCAGGACACATACTGGGGAAAAACTCCTGTACACACACACACACACACACACACAGACGATCACATATCCACCACACACACACTGACCGCGCTTACCACATCCCGCACCTTTAGTTTCCGATATGACAAACGTGTAGGCGGGGGAGGGGCGCAGGGGTGATAGTGGCTATACAGTCCACAGTGACACCTCCCAGAGTTCCTCGCCGCCGCAAACACAAGAGTACATGCAGCCAGTCCAAAACGGGCTTATCTCCTGGGAAATAAAAGGCGGGGGGGGGGGGGCAGAGGCGTAGGAAGGACCGTGCGGGGTGTCATCACTAGGACATTACATTATCAGTGTGTGGTTATTTGTGTGTATAAATGTCTGTGTGTGTGTACAAAAAAGGGGTGGGGATGAGAAACAGTTATCCGCACCGGGTACCACCAGAGCTTGCAACGCCACTGCATACGTGAATGCACCCATACATACACAGGCACACACATACACACATCGGGAGGTATGCTATACGGTACACGCACGGTGGAACCCCCGATATATATCTATGCATATATATACATATATATACACACACACACACACACATATATATATATATATATATATATATATATATATATATATATATATATTTACATATATATATATGTATTTTATAAAATTAAATATATATAAATGCGCGCGCGTGTGTGTGTACTCCGTTGCCGACAGGCTTACCACACATACTGACTTTGCCTACTACATCCTATGCATTCAGTTTCCGACACGTCAGTCGTGGAGGCACACAGGAGGTCTGTGAAAGTGGTGACACACTCCTTCGGGACACCGCCCAGAATACCTAACCGACGAAAACACAAGAGTGCATGACCCAGTTCAAAACAGTTTTCTCTCCTGTGGAAGAAAGATAAGGGAAAATAAAAAAAATTTAAAAAAAGGGGAGGGGGTGGCGAGTGTCCCCGTGGGTTAAGTTGTCAGGCTGTTTGCCTAGCGCTCCAAAGGTCAGGGGGTTTATTTAAGGGGACAGTATCATTGTGTTCACCGTAGTTCGTCACTATAGCTACAGAGCTCGTACTTTGTGTCTTCCTGTTGGCTGTTTTGCGGAGAAATACCGAACCATGTGGGATAAAAGCAGATGCATTGTAGTCGATATTCTCGGCTCTGAAGTTTGAAACTTTATCGTCTTTTTTCCTTTTCAAAATTTCACAAAACCAAGGTTTTTGTTTATCTTTCTGGTGGTACGCAACGGCAATAGCTGTATTTAAGCATATACTAAATAAGGTACAGCTTAGGGATTCACAATCTAATGGGGCCTAAAAAATTATATTTCCAGAGAAAAGCTCAGATCTTTTAAGCTGTAAATTAGCACCTTTTTTAGAGCAGTGGTTCTCAGCCTTCCTAATACAGCGACCCTTTAATACAGCTCCTTATGTTGTGGTAACCCCCACCATACAATTATTTTCGTTGCTACTTCATAAAAGGTTAGTTGCGTATCCTTCACAGGACCTTGCAGAACCAACCCCAACAGTCTCTGGCTGTTGTGTGGTTTTTCTAGGCAAATTTAGGGCCTCGTCTAGTTTTAATCTAGCACCTGGTAACGCAACCTTTCTATGAATAATTTTTTTTCAACGCTACCAAAAAAAAAAAAAACCACATAAGATTGGACGTCCGTGTACATTGTTGCGCACATAAAACAAATCTCCTTACAGTTGAAAATCGTAAAGAGTAGCCTAACAGCGCTGCCCGGGCAAAAATCTGGTGTTAAAAATCTACCCAATGTATTTCAGGATCCTCGACGGTGCTACATAGTTCGTGCACTGTGCTGAGATTCTTCAGACTCAGACTTGAGTTCTAAATAGAAAGGAGCACGTAAGGGTTACTACCCTTGTGCCACGATGGTGATCCGTTGGTTGAACCTAAACTTAAACCTAATAAACACATTGTTGCGAGCGAGTACTGGCACCTTTTTTAGACATTAAAAAAAAAAAGTTCTAAATACAAAACCATTTATAATCATTTATGTCTTCCACCTCGGCTAGGTGATCACTTGCGAATTGGAAGGTCATGGGTTCGGATCCTGGGTGACCGGGCTTCTTAAAACAAAAATGGTTTGTCTCCCAGGTAGACCTAGCCTTGAATGGGTACCAGGTGGAGTTATGTAAAGTAAAGGCGGCCGGCGTGATGCTGACCACATCAAACACCGAGTGCCGATTGGTCTATAAAACATAGGTCCAGCCCTATATGCCTATTATGCATGAAGGCGTGGAAAGAAGTCCTTAATTTTTTTTAAAAAACTGTTTATGCCTTCTACCATGTTCAGTAAAAGAATGTAAATCTATATAAATGACCACATGACGTAAGCGAGCTAACAGATAGACCTGATCAGTGATTCCGTTTAACTGAGCGAGATAGCGAAGACGACTACCTGCGCTTACTGGCACGACACATGATGATTATGCTATATTTTTATCGTCATTTCATGTATATATTGTATTTAATTGTGCCATCTTCACAAAGGAGGTTGCCTATAGTGGATGTGCGCATTTAATGCTGCTTTGGTACTTTCTTAATATCCTACCGCAAACAGGGGAAATCCACAGGTCACGGGAAGTCTAATCAGGGGGTGGCAGATAGGCTGCATGCAGTCGTAGGATCTTGGCTGCATGCAGTCGTGGGACCTATGCTGCACTCTCTAGTAGGACGTAGGTGGGTTGGAGTTAGGGCCAGTTCTAGATGTTTTGGGGTCGTCAAAAGCATCAGAAAGCTGGGAAACCCAGCCTTACCAACCTTTATAATGTTGGACTGTCCTGTGACGTCATCTGGGGTAGGATATTACGAAAGA